GATTAATAGACTTAACAATCCCTGTGTCCATCACTAACTGAACTTGTATTGCCACTCCATCTTGGAGGCAGAGGTAATGCCTAGCATGATGATGAACCAAGGGTAGATTGGATTTAAATCCTATTGATTTAAATCACTAGTCATTAGATTTAAATCATGGTTTTCTACAGAATTTGCATGCATGTCTGCCAGTAGGTAGAGGAACTTCATTAAAATATTCCCAAACTGGGTCTCTTTTATGACCTGTTGCTGTTATAGGTTTTCCCCTCCATGGAAGGAATCATATGATAAACCTCAAGCTATACACAAAAGGATCCAAAGCCTTGGAGAGTGTTCTGCTCAAAAGGGTTCACTTTCATTTTTACTGCTCTCTCTCACTTCGCTTCTTGTGTAGATCACTCCCAACAATCTTCTAATCACTGAATTTCTTGAAACTCAGCATTTAAGAGGCAAGGGGTTGATTCTGTATACATTGATTTGCAAAGGAACAATGGGATTAAGGTCTTTATCAACTCTGTATGTTTATGGTATAAAATTTTTGCTGTGAAGAAGAGTCATGTAATCTTTCAAGACACAAATTCACTGTTTTTAGAACTGTAAAACCAAGCATCTATGATAATATCTTCTAGACAGAAAAATTGCCCAGTAATCTTACAGAAACCTCTGGAAGAGCATGGCGTTGTGAACAGATTAATGGAATTCATTTATCAAAAAGTTAAACATTGCATAAATATACAGCCTTATGCTACATAATTAAAAACTAATCCTTATTTCCTGATTAATAACCTTGGAACTATTACGTATCTTAAATAGAAAACTATCTTTAGATAATTTTTTTCCTCAAAAAACATTTTATTAAAAAATCCTATTTAAGTCAGAAGTCCAGTTGGTTAAAGAATATGTTTTATGTCAATTGCTAGTTAAACTTAGATTGGTTTTTTGTCATTGTTCTGGAATATTTTGCTTCAGGTAGGATTATAAGCTAATTAGTCATCCACATATAAAGCTCTGACTTTCCCTGAATTTAAAATAATCTTCTTGATTGGTGTTTAGTCCATTCTTTGGACTCAAGTCCAAAGAATGCCAGAGTTCTGCCATTCTTTTAGCAGTAAGCAGTTTTTTTTAAGCTTCATTGCTCTGGATCTGATAAAGGCTGTTCGCTGAATTGATGACCAGAGTGACTCACAAATGAGTCATCTTTTGCCCAGTGAAAGATCCATGCAACATGTGAAGAGACTCTACCAAAAGAGAAACAGTTGAATATTTGATATTTTTAAAAGGGCACATTTAGTACTGTACATCTTTGCACTTGGTCCTGACAAAGTCAAGCATTGTTCCTACATTAGTGTTTCCACATATCCTCCTGCAGCTTTTCTTTTTTTATTCAATGTATATTTCTGGAGGAATAGTAAGGAGGCATGAATAGTTGATTTGAGAAACAAGACCTTGCCAGACAAATCTTTTGCACATGCTGATTAGTGCAGACCACTGATACTTAAAACGAGCCTGCCCTTTGCTGAATACCTGTTGCTGAATTGGTTGATCTTATCTTCTCAGGGGATTATTATATAGGCTGAGTTTTTCCACCAGTGAGCAGCCACTACCCCAAACCATGCACCCAACCCCAAGTGGACAAGAGGCACAGCTGTTATAAGAAAACATAAAGAAAGAAAAAGTATGAGGATCCATTAAGTTAAAGGAAAAAATTACCACTACCTCTGCCTAGGTTTGACTACTTTAGTCTACTGTCACATCATAACCTGGTGGAGTTCAAAGACTTAGGCTAGATGGGTAGGTATGATGAACAGGTAGATTGGAGTTACCCTTACATATGCTCTTTCCTTTTCTAGATAACTTAGCATGTATATTGAAGTATCTGGCCGTCTTTTTTGCATGTGTTATTAACTTCCTTCTCCAGCTCTTTCTTACTCTTCTGGGACTGTGGGGGCAGAGGCATGTTGATCTGTGAAAAGACCACAGCCTGAGCAGTAGTTGGGGGGCTGTGACTGGCTGTGGGAGCCTGACAAAATGGCGGTCATCTGCTTCCCAGAGCAATCATATTGCCCACTGTTTATAAGGTGATGGTTGATAAAAACATGTCTCAGGATTTTTGGCATGATTTCTGATTCTTTCTGTGTCTTAGTTAAAGAGGCAGAAGATATATTCCTATTTTTTTTTCCTATTCTTCAGTTACGTTTTCAATACTGAATCCCTAAGCAGCCTACAATTGATTATTGGGTGAAATAAAAATGAAATAAATAAATATATTAAATGGATTTAATGCATATACACATGTAATTCAAACATGGTGGAGTGTGGATTTTGATCCCTGATAACTGATGAATTATAGCTCAGTTGCTACATTTTTCTCTCCAGTCAGAGGAGGTAGAAGAAAATTACATATACATCCATGGGCTGCCCGGAACTATGCCAGTCTTTGTTTTAACAACTAAGTGCAGATTTCTAGTTAAAGTATTTCAAAAGCAGGCCTTCTGATTACTGAAAGGCTGCTCCTATTCTGATTCATCCAATGCAGATTCTTTGTGGAGGCCAAATAGTGCTATTGAGGAAATAAGGCTGTTGGAGAATTTCAGATTTTGAAATGGCAAATTGAGAGGATGATGTTTCAGCATTGCTGTGGTGAGTTTCTTCAGTAGATGCCAAAGCCTACCATCAGGATATCATTATCATTATCCTGAGTTTCACAGATCATATATTTAAAGGGGTACACTAGAAGCTGCTGGAAAAGAAGGGAAAACCAACATGATAGGCTGTGGCCAAACAGCCTCTAGGTCTTTCAAGTTCAAATCCAACAATAAGTATAACAATTAATTTTCAAAAATGCCTAGATTCTGCCTTGGAAGGTATTTTAGAGGAAACTGTTTTAAAACATGGTTATTCTTTATTTGTTTGCAAACATGCCCTATTTGATCAGTTCTCCCCTTATTTGATCAGTTGTCCTGTTTACAAGACTGAAAAAACATTTATTTATTTATTTATTTATTAAAACATTTTTATGCTGCCCCATTCGCCGAAGCCTCGGGGCGGCTTACAACAATAAATTAAATAATAATAATAAATTAAAAATATAAACATTAGAATAAAATACAAACATACAATATAAAATAAGCCGCCCTGGCCAGATAAAATTCAATAATATTAACATTTAAAATGCCGCTTAAATAAAAAGGTCTTCGCCTGGCACCGAAAAACAAATAATGACGGCGCCAGGCGGACCTCTCTGGGGAGCGCATTCCATAACTTAGGCGCCACTGCAGAGAAAGCCCTCCTCCGAGTACCCACCCTTCTAATTTCTTTCATGGAGGGTTCCTGGAGAAGGGCCTCTCCCGCCAATCTCAGGGGGCAGCTGGGCATATATGGACATAAGCGCTCCTTTAGGTAACCAGGACCCAAGCCGTTTAGGGCTTTATAGGTCATCACCAACACCTTGAATTGGGCCCGGACTTCAATGGGAAGCCAGTGAAGCTGACGGAGAACTGGAGTCATGTGGACATAACGCCCAGTCCCCGTCAGCAGCCTGGCAGCTCTATTTTGAACCAATTGAAGTATCCGGACCGTCTTCAAGGGTAGCCCCACGTAGAGCACGTTACAGAAGTCAAGACGGGAAGTCACCAGTGCATGTGTCACTGTCGCCAGGCAGTCGTACTCCAGGTAGGGGTGCAGCTGATGAATCAGCTGAAGCTGGAGGAAAGTGCTCCTCGCCACTGCTGTTAGTCCAGATTTGGATAATAGTCAGATGCTCATCTCATCTACAGAAAATAGAGTTTTTCTGTCAGTTGATGATGTGAGAAATTCTTAGATGCTAGAGTAGGGGACAGCATGATCATCAGTGAAATTGATTATTTTACTAAATATTAAATAATTTTCCAAAATGATTCCTGTTTCTCTTTTTTCATGGGTGTTTGTTATTGTTGCTTTGACAATAAAGATATCATTTATTTATTTATTTATTTATTTATTTATTTATTTATTTATTTATTTATTTAAAACATTTCTATGCTGCCCCCATCATAACAAAGCCTCGGGGCGGCTCACATGTTTATGTACCTTGATGCAGTGGAAGCTTCTGTCAGGTTTGGCAGTTTAAACACACACGTACAGAGAGAGAGGGAGAGGGAGAGAGAGAGAGAGAGCGCGCGCCACATGATTCTAAAGGAGTCTTCAGCCAGCTGCAGCAGATTCAGAGGAGTCAGGAATTGCAAGGGGAGTGGTGAATGTTGGAAAGTCATACACATAACAAACTACAGAAATAAGCTGGCTCAGAGCACTTTCTGTCAGCAGAGGAACTTTCTGCTTTAGGCTATAATCCTGCATATATTTACACAGAAAATCTTCTACAACTCCCAGCAAGCTTTCCATATAGCTGCACCTGTATTTTGGCATCCACTGTTTTGCACATGTCCACTTCCCTGCACTCTAGCTGCCCCTGCCAACATGTGTATGTAAAACTGCCAGTTTGAGATTAACATTACACACATTTGATAAAGTGGGCTATAGTTTATAAAACACCTTCCCCAAGAATAATGTTTAGGCAGAAAAAAGAAATGCTGGAAGTTGTAAGACTGTTATCTATCTAAATATGCTAGGATGGTACCCTTAATTTCTGTTGTTTTGAGTTGCAAAAGTATGTCTAACATGTGAAGTTGAAGTCTGTGATGACAGCATTTTATGGAATGGCTGCTACTTTGAGAGCTGAGCATGTCTCTCAAGATACTCTCTCTAAAGTTTGACCATGATTACCATACCTGTGTGAAAACTGATCAATGTTTCCATTTATTCCTTTACAGGGACTAAATTTATTGTAATCTGAGTGTTTTCTTAAGCTTCACTATGGTAGCCTTTTGAGATTTAAAATCCAACTGAAAATAGTGAATCCTTGCTAGTGCTACCAAGGTCAACACACTTCATATTACTTTTAAAAGTACCATATTTTTAAAAGGACATTGTAACTAGACATTTTTCCTCTGTTGATTTACCAGGTATCCTGCCAGTGTACCACAACATGTTTGCATTAATGAATCAGACAGACCGAAGCTGGTATCCTCCAAATCATACCTTCCAAATAGAGGGATCAGCAACTCTCACTGTACTATACCGAATAAGGTAGTATTGGTACTTTATGTACAAATAACTATTTGTTAATCAGTTGTCTTTTTTAAAAGGGTAATATAAGAAATCAAACAATTCTTGTAATCTATGTTTTTTCATTTCACTTCATTTTCAGCGAGGTTTATAATGGGAATTATGCTGTTTATCCATGTATTCTATTTACATTTTATGGCCAGCCATAGCCCATTACTGACTTGCTTAAATCAAGAGTACTTGCGTTCATTCATTTAGTAATTTCTTTTATGGATACATCGAATTTAGTGAAACACAGGGTGGCTTGAATTGCAGTTACACTACAATCCTGTGCAATATTTACCTCGAAGTAAATGAGATTGTATTTGGTAGAAATTATTCTCAAAGAAGTATGTGTAAGGTTGCAGCTTTCTGTTTCTGGTAACAAAGGTGCTGTTTCTGAATAATATTTGTGTTGGCTAATATAGCCTGGTTCAATAGGATTGAGTAAGGATCTTAGCTCTTATCAAATGTATCATGGTGTCAATTAATGGATTGTTTTCAGACTTGAACATTTCTTTAGTCAGAATGACTATGGAATATTTTTATATATTAACATACTGGCTGTCTTACGGAGAGATTTGGTCCTTCTAGTCCCTTCTTGTCTACTTTGACTGGCAGAAACACTCAGAAGTTTGGGGCAGGGATCTTTCCTGCCCTGATAGTAGAGATGGTTTACCTGGAGAAGCTGGGATAGACCTTGGAACTCTGAGCAGGGAAAGCATCTGTGGTCACTTTCATCAGCATATTTTAGGAGCTGGATCACAATACTCTAGTGTGCACACTTTTTTTGGTGCCTAGTGATTGGGAAGATCCCCACTTGCCATCTTCTGGGTCCCTTTTCTTAATTTCCTTTTACCTCAGATTGGAATTAAGACATAAATGAACTGAGGTGGCTGAAGAAGTCTAAGCCACCTTCTTTCCACAACTTTTAGGGGTGAGAGAGGAACTGGTGGTGTTTTCTGCTTAGTAGCTTGCCTCCCTTATTTATTGTTTGTGTGTGTTTGTGTTCTTTGGCCTCCCTCAAAGCTTTGAGGTTTACCTGAGACTCTCGCCATGTTGCCAAGGCAACAAGAATGTGTAGCAGCCTCTCTAATAACTGAGCTAGCTTCTTCCACTTTGCTTTTGGTGGCTGTTTTCTTCTTCCAGAGTGGAACCCCTCCCCAAGCAGTCAGGCCCAAAGGAGAGACACATATGCATGCATGTATGCATACTATCTATAGTGTGTGTGCATGTATGCGCACATGTATGCATTGATGTGTAAAATTAGAACATTGCATTGATTTGCAATTAGATTGCTGCTTCACATGTTCAAGTAGCAATCTTAATCTGAGATTATGTCTCTGTTAGCATATGGTAGCAACAGATCACGAGTTATTTAGCTGTGATTTGTTGGGGCATGTGCTTGGCATGTGCTGCCACCATTTTGCAAATACAATAACCAATTAGAAGTTATTCTGTGACCTGGGCATTGTGGGTTAATCTTGGACCAAGCAGTGCACAGTTAATTAACAGCTAATTGTCATTCTATGTCGGTCATCATTATATGCAACCCCTGCTCTGTGGTTTAGCTGTGGGTTGCTAATCATGGGAAACCCAAGAATAAAACCCATGGTTGGTTCTTTGGTTGTGAACCCTGGGTTCTTAACATGGTTGAATAATAGTGCAGGGTGTGCTGGTAATGACAACTCACAATTCAACAATAACACAGCTTTTTGTTGTTGATAGTTGTGAAGTCGTATCCGACCCATCGCAACCCCATGGACAACGTTCCTCCAGGCCTTCCTGTCCTGCACCATCCCCCAAGTCCACTTAAGCTCACATCAACTGCTTCAGTGACTCCATCTGGCTGCCTCATTCTCTGCCATCCCCTTCTTCTTTTGCCTTCAATTGTTCCCAGCATTAGGCTCTTCTCCAGTGAGTCCTTCCTTCTCATTAGGTGGCCAAAGTATTTGAGTTTCATCTTCAGTATCTGGCCTTCTAAAGAGCAGTCAGGGTTGATCTCCTCTAGGATGGACTGGTTTGATTGCCTCGCAGTCTAAGGGACTCGCAGGAGTCTTTTCCAGCACCACAATCCAAAGGCCTCAATGCTTCGGCGGTCAGCCTTCCTTATGGTCCAGCTTTCACAGCATGTGAATATAAATGTGATTGGAGATTTTTTTTCAAAAAGTATGCCTTGATGTATTGCCAAATTAGTCAGTTCCTATGCGTGCAGCAATCTCCACGTGGAAATGAGGCAGTGTGTGGCTGTCATTTACAAGGCAGGAAAAAGAAGCCATCGTCACATCTTTTCATTTCCCGATTATATGAACCTGGTCAGTTTGTGTTAATTAGGAAAAAAAGCATGAGACACTCCCTGGACATGGTGAGCCTTCTCTTGAATAAGGAGTATGCCTCCATGCGATCCTGAGTCCTACAGAGAACAATCTTGCTATTGCTATCAGGCAACGCCAGAAAGATATGAACTAAAAGTAGCTTTGGCAGAGGCCAAGCTGTTTGACAAAATGATGAATAAATCTGCTTTATGGTGGTGACATAAATCAGATCATGGTGCAACATCTTTGCTGTGGCAATAAGAAGTTTCCACATGATCTGGTACAGATTTTCTGGGAGGCAGTGAATTCTGGCATTTTCCAGGAAACAGTTTTTCATAATTAGCACCATTTGTTTATGGTTTGTTTTTATTCTGATGAATAAAGTGTTGCTGCACAGCAGGGGTTTTCCAGCCTTTTTTGTCTGCAAAACCTGTGGGCTTATTTGACATGATTAAAGTTTATATATTTATTTATTTATTAGATTTATATCCCACCTTTTTTTCTTACGAAGAAGGCAGAGTGGCTTACATAGTTTTCCTCCTTCTGTTGTCAGTCTTATCTGCACAATAACAACCTTGCGAGTATGTTGAACCAAGAATCTATGGTCCAAAGTCATCCAATTGGCTCCATGACTAAGCAGGGATTTAGAAATCAGGTCTCCTGAGTTCCAGTCCTGTGGTCTTAACCACTGCACCAAACTCTCTTATTTCCCTAGGCACCACTACAGCTTGACTGTTGGGGTGGCAATCACAAAACTAGGAGTTCCAGTGTGTGTTCATGGATGTGCATCTTGTGCATGCTACACATAGATTCTCCCCCCAGCACCACCGCTTTGTTTTCCTTCCTGAATTCTTCCCCTTTCTTTCTGTCCCTTCGGCCCTTCCTTCCATTTCTCCATCGATCGCTTTGGCTGCTCTGCCTCCCTGAGTTCCTCACTCCCTCTCTGGTTCCTTTCCCACATCAGGTCTATTTCTGTTTCTCCTCTAGCCTCGCTCCCTCCCTCCCTCCCTCCCTCCCTCACCTTTGTCTCTCTTTGGCCCTCCCTTCTTACCTCCTTACTTTCTCTGATTCTTTCTGTCTGTCTTCTTTCCTCCCTCCCTGCTTCACCTTTCTCTCCCCATGCCCATGTAACTGAATGGAGCAATTTTTCCATTTGTTTGCATGGGGGTTAAAAAGGCCATCCACCACAAAACACCTAACGCCCCCCACATCATTTTTCTACAGGTCAGCTGTTTTGCTCCCATATAGAAGCCCAGGGAGTAGTTCTTCATAGGAGTACTGAGAAGTGAAAATAACTTTGTGGGTGCCTCAGCTCTGCCAGGTGGGTGCAGAGGTCCCTGTGAGCACTGTGTTGGAGACCCCTGCTTTATATACTTGATGTTTGGTAGAATTTGACTCAACTGAAACTTAATCTGGTTGTGTAAGCTCGGTAATAGTTGGCTTTAATGAGCATTGAGTTTGAATTCAGACTTCATTTTTTAAAAGCAACAGGCACAGCTTTGAATTCAGTGGCAAATTGAAAGTGTGTGAAAATACACAGATTCTGAATTTTATATAGGAGTAGCCTTTGTTTTATTTTAGCATCATGTTTGATCATGTCTCATCTTGTACAAACATGGATATATGACACAGCATGTCTCCCAACAGGTTTTATTTTCCACACTGGTATTGCAGCAGCAATAAGCGAGCGTATCGGTATGGAGTTTCCCGAGGCACAGAGAATCCTGTCCTTGATGATGTTGTCATGTCCTATTTGTATGCTCAGGTAACACTGAATGAAATAGTATTATTTGAGTCTGTATGTATTTGGGTCTGCTCTCTGTGCCTTTACTAATGAATTAGAAGGTCTTGGTAGACCAGGGCTATTCATTATTCTCCGAGTGGAAACAATTCTGGCAAAAAAAGAAAATCAGTATGAGAACTGCTCTTTGCCTTACCACCTCCATATTAATTAATTAATTAATTAATTAAAAGCTATTCTATCCTATCCCCTATAGAACATCTCGGGACGACTTACAATCCCTCTCTCTCTCTCTCTCCCCACCTTCCCCTCTCCCTCTCCACATCCACCTGCCTGCCAGTTTGTCTCCCTCTTCTCACCTGCCTAAACCATGGAAGGAGGGATGCCCCTGGAACTTTACCATGGCATAGGGGATCTCCAGAAATATTCCTGGTACTGCAAAGTCTGGTTGTAAGGAAAGAACTGTTAGAGCCAGAACTGTTTCGGCATGGGCACCTTTCTTGCCCATGCAGCTCTTCAGGAGAGCTTGGCTGCATGCTGGTGCTGTCTGAGAGGATTTGCAGAGGGTGTGTGTAGGGGTTTGGAGAAATTTGTGGCAGTGGCAGCAGATCTTCCTGGCACATGAGGGCAGGATTTACCCCAGTTCATGTTCTTAAATTGAGCAGAGAGAAGGAAAGGTTGGGGCACTCTGGAAGCTTTTATGGGCTGCCAGTAGTGTGTGTGGGCCTTGCAGTGAAGCCCAGGGAGTGTTGATGGTTTCATGAGACTCGTAGGCCATTATCTCATTGAATTAAAAAAAACAGAACAGACCTAAGAGTAACAGCAATACACTGATGTACTGTGAGTTCTGGACTGATTCTTGTGTCTCTCTAAAACTCCTATCTTCTGTCTGATTCAATCACTGCTGAAATAAAAAGTAAATAAAAAGAGAGGCATGCAGGCATTAATCCTCATTTCTTTGCCCTCTGCTTGCATTCAGTGGCGAGATGATTTTGTCCATGGTTGGGTAAAGATGCCTGTTACTCACGAATCACAAGAAGAATGTCTTGGCATGGCTGTTCTTGATATGATGAGAAGAGCTAAAGAAACGGACCAAACTCCATTAGCCATCTACAATTCTATGAGGTAATTATTTTTGCAGCTGTACACCTAATACACATACATATTCCAAAGAAATTCCCTGTGAAATGCCTCTTGGGGATGTTCCTCATCTGGGCAATCCAAATGGAACATTTCCACCAATACATGGGTGTTGGTACAAAGTGGAGCATACATGGGGTTTCTAAAGACATCTCTAATAGTGATGGACAGAAGTGGTAGGATGTGGGTGGGATGCAGAATTGTCCAATGGCAGTTACTAATCCTTGTTTTGAATTTGCCAACAAAAATCCCTTTATACAGTCACGAGGATTAGAAAAATTACTGTATCTGACAATTGCAATGATCTTTCAGAAATGATAGATGAAATATTCAGATTTGTTGGCCAAGATCCAGATATGTAGTTGCAGAAACAGAAAGGAAAGTCCACAGTTTTTTGGTTGTTCCTTCTTCCTTCAGCAGTATCTTATGCCAATTACTGGGGTTGTTGTATTAGAGAGCTTCCCATTCCTTAGAAACAGATAGAGGGTTTTAGGGCTTATGCTAGGACAGGAGAGTTGAGGTAGCCCCATTCTGTTCAAGAAATTAGGGTTCAAGCCAATTTTCCAAAATACATGTTGTTCTAACCCTTTCCCAAGCACATTGGTGCAGTAAACATAAATCCTTATTTTTAAAGAGATCTGATGGTTTGGTTGAAAAATATAGGAAAGAGATCACCCCTTGTCCAACACATGCATGCGCACTTTTTTCCGTTATCGTGGATATTTTGCCACTCACTGGAATTTGGTTTTGTATTCACAGCTACAAACTGTTTTTGCCCAAATGCATCAGAGAGAAAATCCAAGATTATCATATTCTAACACGAAAGAGAATACGATACAGGTTCCGCAAATTTATTCAGCAGTTTAGCCAGTGCAAAGCAACTGCCAGAAACTTGAAACTGAAGTATCTCATTAATTTGGAGAACCTCCAGTCTGCTTTCTACTCAGAAGTATTTGAAGTAAAGGAGCCTGGGAAAGAACCTTCAGAGGAAGATGGTTTTGCAACCATTATTATATCTGGAAATGATGGGATTCGGTGCTCCAGAGGGAGACACAAAGACTGTGAAGAACTGGCGGAACAAGTAATCTCTACTAACGCTGTTTCATATCGATTACTATAAAGTCTTATAAAATATCACTGATATTAGCCAATACATGGCTAGTTAGAAACTGGTGGATTTTAAAAAATAGCTCTTTATTATACCTATCCCCATATATAGCATTACATCCAAGTATGAACAGGAGGAATTGAACAACAACTCCATTCATGCCTATTATCTATCCCCTTAGATAGGGCTCAGTGACATCCACAGAAAGAACATAAGCTGGCCATATCTTCTGTCAGCATTGCTTGAAATAGGGCATTCTGTGCACAGGACATGGGCATGGTGTGGTTAGCTTTTTATCCATTGCATCTGCATATTTTTCCCCTAGAATTTTTGGCATTCACTTTCTGTCTCTGCATTTATTAATGTTTCTAGAAGTAAAATGATAGGTTTTAAAATGCCGAAGCAACTATGAGGCTAGACTTTCATTGGAAGATGTGGAAAAACTCTCCATCGCTCACTTAAGGCCTAATAAGAAATAATGGTTTCCCATTATTAAAGGGGACATGATGAGTCATGGACTCATGTGCTCCACTTTTCTCCTCTTTGCAAACTGGAAACTCCGAGGAGGATAAGCATTTGATTTGACACTAACTTCCCTCTGGCATCTAATTGGGGAACTGTGACTTGTTTAAGCTATGGTTAATGAAAGCTAGTTAGGATTGAATCATGGTTTCAGATGCTTGTTTACCTTAAATAATGGTTTAAACAAACCACAGTTTCCTGATTTCAAATAGTTTAAAATTGAAAACAGAAGTTTTTGGTACTGTTTTGAAGCCACAGGAGCACAGAAGAAAGGGGATACATAAGTATAAGATTTTCTGCTGCTTGTTTTAGAAATGGGAAACTTGGCTATCTAATATAATGTTAGAATTGTATCCATTTAAGTTAGTAGCTTCTAAACGTTTAGCTTAAACACTCATAATTAAATGGTTCTGCAATAAATCTCTATCTTTCTTAGGACATACAATCCTACTGCGATTTTCCTGATATTATTGATGTCAGTATTAAGCAAGCAAGCCAGGAAGGCTCTGGTGAGAGTAGAATTGTAACCATTCACAAGCAAGACAGCAAGAATCTGGTATAGTAGCTTACTCTTTTGGTTATATTGTATTTGTATGTATTAATTGGCTAAATTGGACTGAGTGCTTTGTGTAATTTGCATTATTCTGTTATGTAGATTGGGTTTACACAGTACAGCTACCCATCATTGGTGACAAGCCACTCTGGATTGCCATGTCATGTAAACTCAGACCAGTTTCAGCACAGTAGCTTGTTTCTGGGCAGCAACCCACCTGATGCATTCAGATTTCATATGTATACTTTCTTCTCCAAACTACCCTATCATTCCATGCCTAAATCCCTCTTTCCAAAAAAATAAAATAAAATAAAATCTTACAGCTATCAATTGTGTCAGCAAAAATGGGTCGTGATGTACTTTTCCATCTTCCCAAGCACCCAGGGTTTTAGGAGTGGGGGACAGTGGGGAACAACGGGACCAAAGTGGAATGCTCAAACTCCTGAGGATCTCACTGCAAAGGAAGGGAAAACACTGCTGCTCCTTTTCACAAGCAAAGATTACTCACGACTTTGCTTTCCCTTGACAGCTCATCTTTTGATAGTTATCTATGGAAAGCAACATTTAAAATAGACTTATTTTTAATTAGAAAAAATAAACTTACAGCTTCTTGGTACCTGCTGATGTGCAGGAGACACTTGTACAAATTTTTATAAAAAGACAATTTGGGCACATTTGGAGCACAATTAAAGAGGGTGTATCTAGTGAAACCCTCCCTAATGCGCCTTTTGGGCGTTTGCAGGGAATATCATCAGTTGTCAAATTGGAGATTTCAAAGGGCAATTGCCAGAGAGAGAGAGAGAGAAGAAAAAGTAAAAGAAAAAAGGGGGGAAAGCTGTGGTAAGCCAAAAGTGGCTTGAAGTTATGGCAAGGAAAGGAGACAGGTCAGCTTAAGCTGTGGCATCTCTGGGATATGGTCTGGAGTACTGAATGGGAAGCAAGGAAATAACGACCCATGGTGACCCACCATGGCTTATTGGCAGGGTTGGGTTAGCATGATATATGAACTTGTTCACTTTGTTTTGATACAATGTCCAAGCTCTGCTAGAGCAACAAATATTTTCATGCTTTTCATGCAGGCTGTTCAAATCTCTTACTGGTACTCAGTGTTAAGTTCAACATTACTCAATAACATGATGGAAGGTTTTTGTTTTTATCTTGATAATTTTTTTGTTCTCCTGAAACATAAACAAACCTTTGCCCTTCAATCTATCTAGGCTTTTCAAAACGTCTGTTTTCTCTAGTGTAATAAAGGATTATTGTAGCAAATAAATCTTAATCTACTCACAAAAGAAGAATTCACCGATGCCAGCTTAGAAATTTATTGACTGCTCTTTTCAGTGTTTGGTACATGGGCAAGTCAACAATTTAATACATATGATATTCATATAAGTTTTATATATACCTAATAAAATATGTCTCAAGTCCTTTCTCTGTCTTTCCCCCTTATCTTTGCAGGAAGCTGAATTTCATTCATTAAGAGATGCTCTTTCCTTTGTTTCATTAATTGATGGATACTATAGATTAACTGTAGATTCTCATCATTATCTCTGTAAAGAAGTAGTACCTCCTTCAGTTCTTGAAAATATCCAGAGCAACTGCCATGGGCCAATTTCGTAAGTAGCAATTTGTGTTAACACTTTGCAAGGGGTTTTCCTAGAACCACAGGAAAAGGGAATTCTACTTTCTATAATTTCCCTTTTCCAATCAAGATTTGGGTTGAAAAATTGGTCTTTCATGCATGTAGCCAGTGCAGATTTTGACCTAGATATGTGCCTTACAACATTCATTTTGTGCCCCATTAATTGGGTAGGTGCCTATCCCCATCCAGAATCAGTTTCTATAAGCAGAAACATCAAAGGGCTTTTAGGGAAGGTCTCCCTGTTTCCTTTTGCAATACACTCAATCTTGTTTAATTCACCCTCAAAACTTAATGCAGAGTCTTAAATAGGTGCTTACATTCTCTGTTCTGTTCGCAATCTTTAAGAATCCCCAGTCATAATTGTGAGGTTGATGTATAATGTCAAAAGCAGAGAACTTCTTAATGTGTTCCTCTAGCAGAAATAGAATTTACATTGTGGAGAAAGAAAAGGGAAATCAGATATCAGTATCCTGAATAATTGTGGGGGAGCACAGAAAATTGCTAGCAAAGGAAATTGCTTTTGGTATAAATGTTAATTTCTTGTTAACTTTTCTGTATGGACTTGGGAAGAAATTGTTCCAGGCTATGCAAATGTACTTTTGTATAGCATTTCCTTGTTTTCCTTGTTGTGAACTTGTGTGATGCACTTTAGTTAAGATAACCATGCTTAATAAAACAGAGTTACACAGGATAAGATTTATTGAAGCCAGAGAACAGTGTCCATCTTCAGGAAATCCTACCAGTAGAATGCAAGGTTTCTCTCTGAGTTCCTCTGGGCAGGAGTCTCCACATCTGCAAAGCTTGGGCCTGACTTTGGCCCAAGGTTTATGAGTTTGTTTGGGGCTTCTTTGCAATCTACTTTTTATTGTCTTCATTTTATATTTGCAAAGTTCCTTGTTGCTTTCCCCTCCCTTCCCACTCCATCTGGCGGGGGATTTGAGCACTAAACAGTATCAGAGGAAAAAGGAGGGTGGAGTGACCTTCTTCCCCACTACTGTCTTTTGGTATTTTCCTGTTGGGTTCCCTTTGTTGATGGAAGATAGCTTTGGCGGCGGAGTTGGCATTTTCACGTACTCTTGAACCATGTGTGAGAGGCTGAAACTAGCTCCTCCCAGTTCCACTGTTGGATATCTTCCATCAGTGGAAAGACACCCACTGGATGCTATTCTTTCTCTTCCTTCTTTCTTCATCCCATTCTCTGTCCTACGATCGAAGACTGCTGCTGATCAATATTGAACTACCCTGTTTTAGTTCTATCCCCCTCCTGTCTTCATGGCAGGAAGCTGAGGAAACAAAACATGGTCTAACTCCCCCCCCCCAAAAAAAATCCATTGGAACTGGACGAAAATCATGGATATTTGAACAGCTTTGAGCATCAACTGCTGTCTTACCCACCCCTCGGTAAGACAGAAGGAAAAAACGTAATCTTTTAAGTCCTGACTGGACCACTCTCCTCCTGCTCACAATTCTTTATGGCAGGAGTGCACCAGCACACTTGGCATAGAGGTCTCAACCAAGCCATTCAGCCATTTTGGTCAGAGTAAAGCCGCACTGGTACAGGTGTGAAGCAGCGCAGCCATTGGTCTCTGAGACCTCTGGGTCATAAACACAGGTGTGCCTCACTAGGCTGTTTGGGCAGGGGAGGAACGTGTGGTTCTTGTGTACCTTTTGATTTCTCATCCTAGACTCTGCTAGTAGGATCCCTGAGAAGCTGTAAGATTAGACCACACCCACTGAAGAGCTTTTACTTTTTTAGCTCAGACTATTGGCAGAAACAGGCCTGGGTGAAGATGATGTACTGGCCCCTGCCACAGCATGTGCTTCCTGGAATCTCCCTGTGTCTTTGAGGCAGGCATTACAGCTTCAGAAATCAAGGCATCTGCGGCCAATGTAGTGCTAGTTAAATAACTTCCAAATTTCGCATTCTGGCCATTTCCAGAAAGTTCTGAGTGGGAGGCTTCTGCGCATCTGAACCTCACCATTACAGGATTGCATTTTTCTCTAATTGTGAGAAAGGTTCTTGAGCGTTAACTAAAGTGCCGCCCATAAAGTCCAAATCATGGGAAATGACACTGGTTTGATTCTACTCAAAGGTAAACATTGCGCTCTGGTCTCATTGAAAGGAAGGTCAACACTCTTGACAGTTTCCAAACTCTTAATGCTAGAGTAATGTTCTACCTAGCCCAGTGAGTATTTGATGCTGGTACATTCCCCAGGGGAGGTAGATGACCTTACAGTTAAGACCCAATTTCCTTATCAGAGTGCTCTTATTTTTAATTAACATGACAATAGTGCTGGAGGGTGAAGAGCTGCTGCTGCTGCATGCTGTGATTGAAGGGAGCACTTAAGTCAGAATTCAGTTCTGACTTCCTCCAAGAGGAATCACTGCCTGGTATTTCTTGAGAACAGAAATTAGGGATATCAATTTTTCCTTCTCTCCCCCCTGCCCCCATGCCTCTAAATGAGAGAACAGACATGTGGATCTGAATTACAATTAAGTAAAACTTCTGCTCACTTTGTCAAAAGGAGGCTGCAGCATGTGCACTGATGGTGGAAGTAGTCCTAAGTAGATAATCACCTGTATTTGAGAGGAAAAACATATATGTAGGATTAAAATCTGATAATCCATTGCTGTGGTGTGGAGCTCCAAACTTGATAGCACTTTTTAATTATTGTTTTTCCTTTCATTAACAAAAAATACAGCATGGACTTCGCAGTCAATAAACTGAAGAAAGCCAACAATCAAACTGGCTGTTATGTTCTTCGTTGCAGTCCAAAGGAGTTTAATAAGTACTTTCTTACTTTTGCAGTGCAGGTAAGTAATGAGGATCAAAATTCACAACTGTTTTAACTGTGATAAAGAAGACATTCAGAATTTCTTTGATAATGAGTGTATCTGTTAAGTTCCTGTGTTTGTCAAATTCCTTTGAGGCCCTCACATCTATTACTTTTTACTCCTTATCCTTGTTGTCACTGAAAAATTATTCAAAAGAATCCTATTTTTGTAGGGTATTTTTTCTTTCTGGCTTTGAAATTGGTTCAATAATATGATTAACTGCATTTGACTATAGGTGAGAAGCGTGTTTACTTCTAGAACTAGAGCTTCATTAACTTGGCCTTCCCCTTGGCTCAGAGGCTTTGCTAGAAAATGGATACTGGTAGAATTTAAGCCATGGGACAGAATAGCAATTACTATGTTTTAGATACTGTTTAACATTGTTTAAGTTAAGGGTGTTGAACACAAATGAGTTAAAAGAATAAATTCCCTATTTTACTGATAAATAGAGTCTATAAATTTCTATAAATTTATCTTCCAAAAATAGGTCCTTTGCCCCAAAATTCTCAATTCCAACTAAGAACAAACCTATGTATGTTTAAACAGAAATGAGTTAAACAATTCCCAGCATGCTCGGTGCCAGGAGTTGTAGAACTTATTTCTGTTTAAATTTGCATAGAATTATCCTCTAAAATCTATTTTTAAAAATAGTTTCTGTAGCTCTTATAAAGTATCTGTCCTTTAGTGTAAATGTGATAAAGAGCCACTTTGTCACTTTACTAATGCCCGGGATGAATTGATACATATTAGTGGTGCAGCAGACTGCACTAGGTGACCCCAAATTGCCCGGTAAGACTTTTGGACCTTAGAGTTCACACTCCTCCTTGAACCCAAGTGTTGCCTGCAAGCAGCTGCTTGTGTCACCATTCCTTTTTTTTTTTTTTTTTTGTGGTTGGTTGGTTTCACTGCTCCCAATTTGCTGATGCTTTTTAGTCAGATTGTTGCTGAATTTCAGTAGTGGCAAAGTCACACTTTCTATTTAATAAAAAATGTACAGGGAGCAAAACTGCTCCCTTGAGATTTTCAAGACTGCACTTTCACATTAAAAGAACACGAGTGTTTTTGCTTTAGAAGTGCGTGCTGTCTATGTGTCATGCTTTGAATGAAAATCTTGCTTTTTTTCTGACACTGCATTTCAACAAAAATGTTGGTGATTTCAGCAGGTGGTACGTATCCTCCAGTGTCTGCCCCTGCTATTATAACTCTTGCTATTACGCTTGACTGAAGTGTAAGTCAAGAATAGGTTTTCTTCCATCCTTCAAAGTATGCAGTTCTGTGTGGTGACATTTCAAATCTTTATTAGGGATACTGAGGAATACAAATAGGTACAAGTGGAACCTGTAACAAAATGTTCAGTATAGACTTCTCCTGTTCAGGATGCCAGCAAGCCAACCATGACCTTTCCAGGAAACTCTATGCTGTACCCATCCTCATTTTTCCATTTCCTTCCCATCAGATACTCAGTGTTCCATGGCCATGGATTATGTATTTGGAGAATGGATTTGCTGTTGGCATATATGATTCCTGATTAGCAAAGCACAAATAGCACAATCAAAAAGAAACTGGCCAGCCATCTGAGTAGGATGGTGTAACTTGGTGTCCTGCAATAGCAGGGGGTTGGACCCAGTGGGCCTCATGGCCCCTTCTAACTCTACTATCTTATGATTCTGTGAAGTGCAATTTTAAAGTAACATATGTTCCCTTCTTTAAATTCTGCAGCAAAATGGCATTGCTGATTATAAGCATTGCTTGATAACGAAAAATGAGAATGGAGAGTATAATCTCACTGGAACTAGAAGAAATTTTACAAACCTCGTGGATCTGTTGAATTGTTATCGAACAGAAACTGTCCGATCAGATAATATAGTTTTCCAATTTACTAGATGTTGCCCTCCAAAGCCAAAAGGTAAAGTATAACTTCTCAAGCATTGTGGTTGTTTTAGGTCTTACTTTTCTGTAACAAAATACATCCACAAGAATAAAAGCAGCTATAGGTAAAACTGTTACAAAGAGGGGAAATGCAAAAAGATAAGCATTGGGGATCTGTGATGTATTGCGATGGAGGATAAGAAGGAAGATGCTCCCAAGTTAATTTTCTGATTTTCCACTTTAGAGAATTCTGTAATCTTAATGTAAATAGATGGCTTCTTTTGCTATACCACCCTATAAGGACTGCAGCTCACATAGTTAAGTGCTCCCTGAACACTTTTAAATGTACAGTGTGCTCCTTGGCCCTGGGGACAGAACAACACAGATGCAGTAATCAACATTTATGCTCTGGTTCTCATGGTACTTTGGGAAAGGGGAAGAAGTGTTCTGTTGGCCTTCTTAACCATATAAGAACTATGGGGACTGAAAAAGGGGTCAAGGAAGAGGGAAGATGGGAAAACTAAGGAGAGAAAACTAAGTAATGCCTACTCTGGATGCAGGCATTAGCTCCAGTGCTCTAGCCATTGTTTGTCCTACAGTGTGAAAATGAGGCTGAACCATTCTCTTAGGTTAGTAGAAAAGATAGGCAACTGCTTTGTTGTATTTTGTGGCTGAAAATGGAGCTTCAGTGTTGCTGAAATGAAAAGAAGGCTGTGATAACAGTATTCTGAACTATCTAAAGAATCGTGCAACTTCAGCACACATCCAAGGACATTGATGTTTCTTCAACCGTCGGTTTGGGCACCCCAAAATACTGCATGGTGCCACTTTTGAAACTGAGGATGCTATATGTAATACCAGATTGATATAATTTGTCTGTGCATAAACAGTTTCCTGCAATGCTGCTGTCACCTCAGATAGTTCTTTTTCTATAGAGACTAACTGCACATCTGACTGGGAGGTGGCAAGTGAAGTATATCCATATGTGAACACACCCTCTCTTGGCTTTTTTCTTTATAGGTAAGTCCAACCTTCTGGTCTTCAGGAGCAATGGAGCCTCTGATGTGCCAACATCACCCACTTTGCAGAGGCAGAATAATGTCAACCAGATGGTTTTTCACAAAATCCGGAATGAAGACCTGGTCTTTGTAAGTTCACTAGGCTGGTGTCCTTGTCCATAAAACACGTTGATCCCAAATGTAGCTCCTTTGAATGAAATCTTATTAATTTAAGTGGAATAGAACTGGTTCTCAGATGTGTGTTACTGGGAATAATTCATATGGTGGAGAATATTCTTACTGTGATAAATGCACACAGAATACAGAGTGCAAATGTTCATTTCATTATATATCGAGAAATGAAATTAATTTGCTGTATGAGTAAATTAATTAAGAATTGGGATGTGTTTTTATTTGCTTATTCTAGTGTAGTTTCATATTTTATTGATAAATGTAGAAGCTGAAACTACATGATGTTTTAATAATTTATCATTATTGTTATCATGATGATTCATCATTGAGTCACTCTAATTTATTCACCTTGCTTTTCAAAAGCTTGTGAAGATTTTTCCCACCTTTCATTCGTCATTCTCAAGCAAACAACAAATTTGCTTTGTTGCTTTTAATCTTCAATAATGCACTGAATTCCTGAGAAGAATCTTCTTCATCAGCAGTGCAGGCTCTAGCAAGGAAAGAAAGAGTCAGAGGGATGGCTATTTTGTATTTATTTATATTTCCATTTATATGCCACCTACTACTGAAGTCTCAATTTATGAGACATCCGCTTTAGCTAGGCAATTTACCCTGAAGTAAATCTTGTTGGATGCAGTGGATCTTGCTCCTCGTGTAATTTTGCATAGGGTCACAATCTTCACATGTCCCATCCTGTTTCCAGAAACAAAAATGGAACTCTCATCCATTCTTGGTAGCTCTGCTCGTATTGCAGTTGCTTTGCACCAGCTTTTCTCAAGATGGGGCTGCTGCCAGAACAAAGGATAAACCATGGGGTTAGAGAACCAGGAACAATGTCGGGGTTACATTTACTTTTCCTAGTACAGGATGGTGAAGATGAGCAAGTAAGACTGTGCCCTGTGCAGTTAAATGGAAGTAAACTTAGAAGGACTCATTTTCAGTAAATATACACAGGAGCATGTTGAAAGCCTCTTTTGCAACCTGCAGCATTTTAATCTAGTCAGTTATTAGGCTAAAACAAGCTATATCATAATTGTTTTCTTCATGTATTGCCATTCGTGAACTAAATTTTTAAATTCTCATGAATTATTTGTTTATAATTGTTTAACATGAAGAGGTTTTATACTTTTCCTAGTTCTTCCTCATCCCAGTATTCCCTTTTTTCCAGACTGAAAGCCTGGGGCAGGGCACCTTCACCAAGATATCCAAAGGTATAAGGAAAGAAGTAGGAGATTATGGGAAGCTGTATCAGACTGAAGTCCTGCTTAAGGTTCTGGATAAAGTACACAGGAACTACTCAGAGGTTTGTGCATCTGTTAGAGCACTCCTTGGACAATAGGCAGAATGAATATGCACAGCTGATGCAACAGTATTTAACTGCCGAGTTTAGCACTTCAGGAGTCTCAGCTTCTCTTTCAGATTCCATTTTTATGCTCAGGGTTGCAAAGTATGCAGCAGGACAGTGTTTCATCAGAATGGAAAAACCAGTAAAGCCAAATGTACTTACAGAAATAAGTTTCAGCCATTCCCTTGGTTTTTCCATGGATGAAAAGGCAGTAACTCAACACATAAAAATTTCTGAGTTCTGTGAATGCGTAATCAACAGTGCAGTGTAATCTGGAATCCTGTAATTCTGTTCCCACCCTGAGCAGGAAGGAAACAAGCATTATATCTGTGCTCTTCCCACCATGCAGAACATTTAGATGGCTGATTTTGGGTGTCTGAATGTTGCACCTTGGAGCGCAAAGGAAGGAGTTTGATTTGCCATTGGGATTCCTTATATTATAGTGGCACTAGCCTCCTTCTCTCCTCTCCGCCATCCTGAATCAGATCACAGTGGCAGCCTCAGAGAAGCATTGTTCTTTTTGTGCTGGCTGCAGGATCTGGGGAGAGGCTGCTCCAGGCTTGGAGTCCCAGCTTTAGCTTTAGAGTAAAAGTTTCTAGGTTTGAAGCTGGGGCTTGAAGAATCCTACAGCTGTCTAGATGCTGTCTATCAGCCATGGGATGGTGCTGTAAGTCAGAGACCTCTCTAATTAGGTTTTCATTAGTACATTGGACTTGTAGGCTTGACTGCATTACAGGGACCAGTGTGGTACAGTGGTTAAGAGTGTGGGACTGGGACTCCGGAGATTTGGGTTCTAGTCTCTCTTTGGCCATGAAGCTCACTGGATCATTTTGGACCAGACACAGACTCTCAGCCCTACCTGTCTCACAGGGTTCTTGTTGTGAGGATGAAATTGGTAGGAGGAGGGGAATTATGTAAGTTATTTTGAGTTCTTTGAAAGGAAAAAAGTGAGATATAGATAAAATAAACATTATATTATCCTTTGTTGGAAATGGCCTGGAAGAATATGCACTCTGCCAAGGCACTGCAAAATTTCTATTGGTTAGAAATCTAGCATTTTATTCTGGTAAGAAAGAAGGAAACAGAGAAGAAATGATGAAAAGTCCCAAGTGTCAGTGAATGAATTTTTATTGTTGCCCTAAGCTTTTCAGGCTGCGAAGATGTCTCTGCTTTTTAGTATGCTGGCTAGATTTGTCATAGCTTTCCTCCCAAGGAGCAAGCATCTTTTAATTTCTTGGCTGCAGTCCCCATCTGCGGTGATCTTGGAGCCCAGGAAAATGAAATCTGTCACTACCTCCATTTCTTCCCCATCTATTTGCCAGGAAGTGAGAGGACCGGATGCCCTGATCTTAGTTTTCTTGATGTTGAGTTTCAAGCCAACTTTTGCGCTTTTCTCCTTCACCCGCATCAAGAGGCTCTTTAGTTCCTCTTCACTTTCTGCCATTAGAGTGGTATCATCTGCATATCTGAGGTTGTTGCTATTTCTCCAAGCAATCTTAATTCCAACTGGTGATTCATCCAGCCCCGCCTTTCTCATGATGTGCTCTGCATATAAGTTAAATAGGCAGGGCGACAGTATACAGCCTTGCTGATCTCCTTTCTCAATTTTGAACCAATCAGTGGTTCCGTGTCCAGTTCTCACTGTTGCTTCTTGACCCGCATATAGGTTTCTCAAGAGACAAATAAGATGGTCTGGTACTCCCATCTCTTTAGGAACTTGCCACAGTTTGTTGTGATCCACACAATCAAAGGCTTTAGCATAGTCAATGAAGCAGAAGTAGATGTTTTTCTGGAACTCCCTAGCTTTCTCCATGATCCAGCATATGTTGGCAATTTGATCTCTAGTTTTTCTGCCTCTTCGAAATCCTGCAGAATCAATCACTCAATATTGTTGCAGAAAATGGGAAGATAAAACTAGGTGAAAATATAGGTGGTTTTTAATTAGATCTAATTCCCATTAGGCTTTTCTTTGCTAATGTTGTTCCCTTTCTCTTGCAGTCTTTCTTTGAAGCAGCAAGCATGATGAGCCAACTTTCTTACAAGCATTTGGTATTTAATTATGGAGTGTGTGTCTGTGGAGATGAAAGTAAGCAAGCTAAAATAATTGATTTGCGCACATTGATTAGAAAACTTTTCTTATTTCCGTCTGTGAAAATAGTTATATTTGAATTTATTTACATCTTTGTCAAGTACAGATTGCCTTACAAGGTGTTAGCATGAAACAACAGGAGATGCATACTGCTTGGCTGGCTTAACGGAAAGGATTCCATTTCCATTTTCTGCCCTAATCTCAGTAGCTTTACACCTGGGTGTTGCCTTTGTTTAAAAGCTTCCTTAGTGAATTTTAAACTTAGACTTTTAAACTTTTTAAAACAATTTGCCAGTGATTTGAGGTTGGTGACCAGTCTGAAGTATTGAAGCCAGTTTGTAAATAATGTAACATCAAAGATTTACTGGACACAAGAAGGAGTGCTCCCTTTGGCACGCTCCTCACTTCCATTTTCAATTAATAGAATTATCCTGATTATAGGTTGCAATTGTGACATCAGAACCTAGCTGCTGCTGGTTGTTTAGTAATTAAACAACTCTGAGTTAACCCAAGAACAAATCATTTGCCAGGTATGAGGAGAAACAAGCAATCTGCCTCCAGCGACTCCTCACTTCCCTGATTGTATGTTGTTAATGTGATATCCAGACCCAGTCCTTCTGGGTTGGTTAGAGACTAAACACTTCAGAGTTAACCCTTGATGTGTTCTGGAGAGCTTAGATTTCATAAGATTTCTTAGAAAGAATCTATGTGGCTTCATAAACTTTTCTGGTAATTACTTTGATAATTGAATGCAGCAACATTTCAAATACTTTCTTTTCTGAGACCTTGAAAAATTAGGCCTTCAGAGGTAACAATACCTCTGGTAATGGCATGTAAGCCTACACATTTCAGGTCATTTAACTCCAAGAATGCAATGCAGTAATAAAAAGTGAGAAATGCGTGCCCCAAATCTGGATTGACATTGCTGCCCAGTCCACTGCTCACTTATTTTGTCTTCAGTGGCTGATGGGTACCTTTTTGCACCTGGCAGGCTCCTTAGATCTTGCGCCATGAGAAAAGGGAAGTTGCAGAAACCTCACATTTCTGCAAACTTCCTGCCTTCACAGAACACAGAGAGAAGGACAGAGTGGTTTGAACTCAGTCAGTTATATGTACTGTTGTGATAGCAAATTTGTAGGGGAGAGGATAGAAACATATCAGTCCTTGCCTTTTTGTTATATCGTAGCTTGGTTCACTGATCAATGAAGTTATCAACTACTTGCAGAGATTTTTATAACTCTCCAAAGCACAGGAAAAGTAATAATGTGATGCATCCATATTCCTTGTTTCTGTAGCCTTTTTGTAGCCTTTTTCCATTTTTTGTCATAACACCTTATCCCAATTCAGGATTTTAAGTAATTGAGAAGTGTTTGATATGAAACTTGAAATGTAAATATTTGTTGCAAAGTATACAATATATACTATTATTGTACTCTATATATTATACTAGAGAATATGATAGAATTGCACTTTAGTCTGTTTGCTCCTTTTTCTATGGTGGCATTCTCTGGACAGTTGAAAATAAATCATGTCGTTAACATTAACAATAATGGTAAGGTAAAATCTCTCCAGAGTTTGGTCAGATTCCCAACAACCATTGAACATTAACTGTGCCTAGGAATTGAAAAAGAGGAGCAGCTGTTTTTTCAAATATGACTCAGAGTTTAATTAAATGGCTTGATACCTTTGTAGTATTGTTGGCTTTCAAGGTAATCACTTGCTTTATTAATTATTGCCTATGTACATATATTTCAAATCAGATATTCTGGTACAGGAGTATGTAAAATTTGGATCACTGGATACATATTTGAAGAAGAATAAAAGTTCTATAAACATCTTGTGGAAACTGGAGGTTGCAAAGCAGCTGTCAATGGCAATGCATTTTCTGGTAAGTACCTTGTTTTCGTTCCCAGATCAAAGGGTCTTGCTCTGCCCTGCCTCCCATTATTGAAATTAGTAAAGATTTTGCATGATTTTTCATGAGTGCTGCTACATGAACTTTGATTGCAGGCACACGACTATTTTCATAAGCATCTTGTTCTTAAAATTACTTTTTTACAAACTGGTATCTCAGCTTGTGTATAATACTGTAATCTGAATGTTGCTGCTAAACAAATGCAGAAAACTTCTGTTTTACCTACTGATGGAGGAAGGAGTGTTTTGTTGCATTTTGTTATTTGTCACAGGCCAGTGAAGAAGACAAATAAAATTTCTTCTGGATCCTGTCAACCTGTGACAAATGGCAGTCCATAACAAGTGTGCATTAAGTAATGTACAGAGAGCAAAGGGGCAGAGGAGAGAGAAGCAACACAGGCACTTGAACCCTGGGGTGAGGGGTGGTGAGCCAAGGGAGCAGCTATGTTAGGGGAAGTGGCTTCTCTGAGTCAGACTGACTAGTTTTCAGAAACCTCTAACTAAAACCATTCTTAATTCAGGAAGCCAGTGTTCTGGTGTGTCAGTGTAATTCATCTTGCGCAAGGAGAATATGATAAAATTGGCATACGGGTATTTCTGGGAAATGGGACTGGAGGTACAACCTCTCCCCCACTGCTGGACCTCTGTTGTCCCTTGAAGAAAAGGCATGCCCTTTTCTCATATTGGGGAGATATCTGAATCAGCATTTGGATATTTTAATACAATCCTAAGCATGCTTATGTGGGATATAACCAACAAGAAGAGCCATACTGAAGCAGACCAAAAGTTTATCTAATCCAGCTTTCCTTTCCCACAGTAGTCAACCAGATGGTCATTGATATTTAAGAAAAAATACGAGTCAGTGTGAATATTCCATTTCTTCTCTTATGGAACAAAAGTCAGTCCCTTCCAAAAAATGCACTTTGTCCTTTCTGTGTCTGCCCACCTACCCCCATTATGCAGAGCTTTCCTAGAATTCAAAGACCATAGGACAGGATCTGCTTCTTCAGTGCACATTGGACTCCTGTGAGCAATTGGTGTGCAGCCATGGAGTTCTCAATCAGATCCTTAAAACAGGATATAGAAACCCATTTTCATGGCAGGAATGTAATAGTTCCATGTTTTCTGCTCTGTATTTTGAAATTACAGTTATTGTGCTTGCTGAATTAAAAATGTCTGCTTGAGAAATGCAGTTAAAGTTTGACCATTGATTTTTTTGAGCGGAAAAAATTAAGCCATAGTGTTTGTCTTTATCAGGAAGATAAAGGCCTAATTCATGGGAATGTATGTGCAAAAAATATCTTGCTTATCAGAGAAGAAGATAGGAAGTCCGGGAACCTTCCTTTTATCAAGCTTAGTGATCCTGGTATCAGCATCACAGTTTTGCCAAAAGACAGTAAGTCTCTGATTCTTCCATTTCAGCAGTTTGTGGGATACCTTGAAAATGTCAGTGAGTAGATAGCTCTTTCCTTTCATTGCTCTGATTATTTTACTCCAGTGAGTTCCACCATTGTGCGTGTGTTGTGGGGGCTATGAAATGCCCATAAATCTAAATCATGGTCTCATTATCATACTTCTGCTACATAACATCTTTTGCTACTCAATATTTTAGATCCTTGTTTATAACCCAGAAAGTGTGCCGGTCATATGAAAGGAACAGCAAATGTTGCACTGAAACAAGAGACAGTATCCTATTACACTTCTGCTAATTCTGTAGCACCAGCAGGACCCGCCATCAGCACAGTGAGAACTAATGTTCCTTAAAGCTACCTCAGAAATGAGTACAAACAGGTCTGTGGAACTCGCTTTCTGTGAGTTCTGCTCACTTATTTGTTCTGTTCTGGGAATGAACATTTTTGCTTGTTTCTGTTTCGCTCCCTTTGAACAGCCTAGGGTGCTGTCCAAGTATAAAAATAAATTGGACAATATAATCCCCTCAATTACCTAAAAATAACAGGAATTGCAACACAGACTCAAACAATTTTATGCTGACATATCTTAAAGAATTGTGTGTAGTAAAGTATTAAATGTAAGATTTGCCAAAGACTTCAAAATATTCTTGATGTCTTGTTCCAAATCCAGCATTTTTTTCCCCTTTGGCAATTAATCTTGCTTTCTAACCTAGTGATGTTATACACACACAAGCACATGTACACTCACACACACAAAACCAAATAAATATGTTCACTGGTAAAAAATTAGTAGATACATTTATTGATGCTGGAGATCAAGCCAGTCTTGGCCATGATGTAATAATAAAATGATGGTGTTGATCTGTTTCAGAGCATCCATCCAATCCAACACATTGAGAACTATTGTTCTAATTATGTGAGGCATTCCCCTTTAAAGTTTTTAGAGTTCACTGGGACGCTGGTGTTAACTGTAGGAGCCAAAGCAACACATCTTTCTTTACTTCTCTTTATCTTTGTATCTTCATAAACTGGAAGCTGTAGGTGAGATAGTCGAAAAACCGGCATTAAAGTCACTTCTCCTTCTAGTATGAGTTGTGGAGGGCTTAAAACATACTATTGAGGATCTGCTAACTGAAATAAAAGGATTTATGTGTTCAACCGATAATCTTTCAGTGTTTATTTTATGGATAAATGTAATGATGTAATACAAGATAAACAGTTTCTTTCATGGGAAATGGCCTACTATGAAATACTAGTTTGAAGAGTGATCCAGGCTGGGCATCAGAACTCCTTGGCAAACATGTTGACATTAGGTAGGTGCTTCTCCACAGTAGCTGTGAATCCACACAAAAGAAACAGTAATGAATACAAAGAGTACTTTTGAGAGAATGTGTACAGTGACCACAATAGCTGGCTGCTAATTATGCACCTGCCAGAGAATCTCTGATTTTTGCTGGAGGGCAAGCTTCTTGAATCATGGATATAAAAAAACCTGAAAGCTCTGTGATGTTAGTGCTTCAGCTCATGCTTGTTATATTTTGGTCTCTGAGTAAGCGTTTCTACAACACTATCATTCCATATGTATGCATGTGTGTTTTATTTTAAAGCATTACAGAATTTTATTTTGCATCTTAATTTGGAAAGTTTCTATACTAAGTTTTAGCAAAAGTTCTTGAAGAAATTTGCATAATACCATTGAGCAACAATTAACATATCCTCAAGATCTTTTAACTAAAGTTTTCTAATGAATTCCTATTAATGAGTTTCTTGTTTCATAACTGTCTAGTTCTTCTTGAAAGAATACCCTGGGTTCCACCTGAATGCATTGAGAATCCCAAACAGTTGAGTTTGGCAACAGACAAGTGGAGTTTTGGGACCACTCTGTGGGAGATCTGCAGTGGCGGAGACAAGCCTCTTAGTGCACTGGATTCTCAGAGAGTAAGAGCCATGTGGAGCTAAGTATTTCTGTCAGGAGGTGCTGGCAGTGAGCTTTTGTGTGTTGTGATCAGCAACACAAATTCTGTTCAAGCTCTTGGATACATTTTTATTCTGATGAAGAAGAGTTCTTGGTATCCTGGGAGATATGATTTCTTGTCTCTCTTATCAGTAGTAACTCAGAGCCGCTTTATTTTTTGCAGCAAAGACGAATTAATCCCCACACTTACCCTCACGTTAGCTGTGTTCCTTTAATGCTGGGAGGGCATTTTCATTTTGGGGTAGGAGATAGAATGCACTAAACAGCACTAAACTAAGGTTTTCACAATGTCTGTTATATTTCATAGTAATAACCATTGATGATTCTACATCATTTAACATATACTAGGTTATTGAGGGCACAAGCTTATGAATGTGTAGACTGACAACTCTTATCATTCTTGCTGGGGAATGCTGGAAGTTGTAGGGCTTAAATTTACTCTAAACATGTATAGGGTTGCTACCTTAGACTTCTCATTTTAATCTGTATTAAATCTAGATAACAGTAGTCTGTTCTGACACTAACATCTAAGAAGCAAATTGTATAAACAATGAAAACAGGCAATTTTAAAAGACATCAGCCTGAAGCCCCATTGTCTCTAAAGCAGCAATTTTATACAGATTTCCAGAACTTGATTGCAGTATTGATTTACCATCATTCCCTTCCTTGTAAGCTTACAAAACTAATCTGACAAAACTTTCCATCAGAAGAACACTAGATGTATAGTGGAAACACAGTAATGGGCCTACCGTAATGGGTAAAAAAAGTAGATACTGACAAAGTCTGGTTAAATGTTTAGGGCTCACTATATGCTTACAATGAACTTGAAAGATGTAAGATCTGTGATGTAATCCTTGCATTGTCCTTTTTCCAAGCCTTGAGAAAGGCTTCAGTCATGTTTCCATTTTTCTTGTACAACCACAAAGAAGAACCTGTTCTTAACTAAACCTCTCATGACTACGTAAGAGTATGCTATTTGGAATATACTGTATTTTTTGCTCTATAAGACACACCTGACCATAAGACGCACCTAGTTTTTAGAGGAGGAAAACAAGAAAAAAATATTCTGAATCAAATGGGCACATAATCACAGGCACATTCCCCATCACTTCCCCATGGGCTGCACATCTGACAGACTTACTGCACACACATATTCGCTCTATAAGACACACAGACATTTCCCCTTACTTTTGAGGGGGGGAAAAGTGCGTCTTATAGAGCAAAAAATACGGTAGCTAACTTGCACTGGAATTTACAAGGCTTGATACGTCTTTTTTAAAGAAACTGAGATAAGAAAGAGACAAAATTCCTCCTGTAAATCAGTTTCGGTTACCAAATCATCTCCCAGTAATCCCTTTGCCTTGCAAAGAAACTTGTGCTTAAACCTTGGTCCTTGAGCAGCTTCATCTGAGGTTAGCTACCCTGGGGCTCTTTAGGCCAGGGTAATAGATTACAGGAAGCTCACAGGGCCCACTTTTAATTGCTCTGTGTGGCAGCAGCTGCCATTTGACCATTAGTTTGTTTGCATTTGTTTGCATAAGAGACAGGGAACCATAGCTCTATAGCACAAGTTGCTTGGTCAGAGGCATAAATAAATCTCCCTTGCTGTTGAAAGGATCAAGTTAGTTTGAAGACTTCTTAGAATTGTCCCCCAAAACTATTTCTATAATCTTTATCATTTCTTGAATTCTAGAAACTACAGTTTTATGAAGATAGGCACCAGCTTCCTGCTCCCAACTGGACAGAACTGGCAAATCTTATAAACAACTGTATGGATTATGAACCAGACTTCAGGCCTTCTTTCAGAGCAATTATACGTGATCTTAACAGTTTGTTTACTCCAGGTATGTTAAATGTGGAAAAGTTGGCTAATTTTGATTGCAAGTGCAATCTGTTAAGGCGGCTTCATTTTTTTTCCTCTTCCCTACCCATCCCTTATTCTTTGTGTATCATGTCTTCTTAAATTGTAAGCCTGTGGGCAGGAACTGTCTTGTTTCATCAGTCGCAAGCTGTTCTGGAAGCCTTGAATTATATAATGGAGGTTAAAGCAAGTTCTACTGTGTAGGCAGTACTGAGGGTGAGAAAGGTGTCTTCATCTCAATGATTTTTCGGAGAACTGGTGTAGCACAGTGAGCCTGAGTTACACATTTAGAAGACCTGGGTTCAGATCTCTGCTGTAGACTCACACAGGCAAGCCTTTTCATTCTCATGCAGTAGTTGTGGCAGGTCTCTCCCTCTTTCCAGGCAGATCAAGCCAGACAGTCTTTCTCATTAAAGTCTTGATTATGTTGAAGCTGAATGGCAAGGCTGGCCTTGTGATACAAAAAGGGGTATTTGCAGAAGTCGCTACCAAAGGAAACAAGCAAAGCCAGAATACTGGCCATTAGGGAAATGCAGCTTTCAATACACAGTTCACATTTTCGTGGGAACATTTGTTAGCATGTGTCAAGTTAAAATGAGTGGAGCAGATCCAAGTAAAGGAGCCTAGAAAAACACTAAAGACTGGGTTGTTTCTGTTATCTGCCTGCTAGTAACTTAATGTTTCTATGACAGAAAACTGGATTTCAGATGTTCATGGGCTAATAAAAATTAAGCTGTCTGTTTCCAGCTGTGTCTGTTCAGATCCTGTGGAGAATGTAGCTGCAGTAGTGTTTGTTTTTTATTATTTCAAGATTATGAGCTTTTGACAGAGAACGACATGTTGCCAAACATGAGAATTGGTGCGCTTGGATTTTCTGAGGCCTTTGAAAGCAGGGACCCAACATATTTTGAAGAGAGACACCTCAAGTTCTTACAGCAACTTGGCAAGGTAGGAAGTTTGCTGTCCTAATGTAGGGAGCACAATCCCTCCCAGACAAATACTATCTAAATTGTACGATCGATTATCCTTGTTAAAATGCATCCTTTCATTATAAATATTTCCAGGGAAGTTCATAAAAAACAATTTCCCAGCTATTCTTCCTGTTCCCATGTATGCTCCCCTAGGCCACTGGGTCTTACGTGTTGGAACGGCACTTTAAAAGCAAAGTTCATTTGAAGCATGGAAAGAAAGAAATCCTGAAGTAAATCCAGAAATCTTACAATATTGAAGAATGTCAAGGTGTGATACACCTGCCACTTCCCCTTGGCCTTGCATTATATTCTTTTTAACAAAAGTACTCATTTTGTTTACCTGTAGATTTACTCGCTTCTTCTGTTGTTGTCTGCTCCCTTTTTATTTTTTGGCTTTGTTGTCAACTTTCTCTTACGCAGTAAATTACTTGACAAGAAGAATACAGTGAATTTGGGACTGTATTCTTTCCTCGTATATCTGTGAGCCTTCAGCATAAGCTACTGTTTCTATGTGAGCTTTTCAGCTTTGTTTAGTTGCAGCCATCAAGGTTCAAAAAGCCTTCACTGCAGATTTATCCTCTTTCACTCCATGACTTAGCTTGCATTTGCCTTGAAGAGAAAGTATTCTTTTCCTGTGGGTTTTGGTTTACTTTTAACTTTGATATATATTGAATGTGTGAGGGCTGTGCAAACTATTCCTTATGGTGCAAAGTGGGGCTTGCTTCTTACCCATCCTCCAAAAAAAGAAACTGATAAAAACAGTCATTCTTTTGTACACTCTTAGAAATGTTACAGTGCTATGCCATTCCAAGCTAGCAGAAAACCAGAACATTTATTGAACCATTCATGGCTAGTGGGTTTGATTCACACACTGGCCTTGGAGAGCAACCTGTCATGTGTACTGTTGTGGGGGGCATTTTTTGTCCTAAATCTTGCTTTTCATTTGCATTCTAGGGTAATTTTGGCAGTGTGGAGATGTGCCGCTATGACCCACTGCAGGACAACACAGGGGAAGTGGTGGCTGTTAAAAAGCTGCAGCACAGCACAGAGGAACACTTGCGAGACTTCGAGAGAGAAATAGAAATTCTCAAATCTCTGCAACATGACAACATTGTCAAGTACAAAGGAGTGTGCTACAGTGCTGGTATAGCGAGCATTTAAGAGTCATTCTTCATTAATGTTATTTACTAAGCAATTCATTCATTCATTCATTAAAAGCTTTTGTATGCCGTTCTATTATACAAGATCTCAGGATGGCTTACAATATTTAAAAACAAAACAACAATTTCAATAAATAATAGAACAAAATAATAAATCACAAAACAGAGTGATTAAACTTAAAAGCTGTTAAATTTTAAAATACTATTTAAATAAAAAGGGTTTGGCCTGGTGCCGAAAAGAGTATAAACTTGGCGCCAGGCGTACTCTCTCTGGGAAGGACATTCCAGAGTCTGGGCGCCACAGCAGAGAAGGCCCTACTCCGAGTTGATGACCTTTTTTAATCAGGTGTTCCTGATTAGCATGAATCCATCAATGTAGAAGTCAGAATGAACTCTTAGAATCTGACCTTACCTCTTTGTATTTTATAGCAGCAACCACAATTACAGTTTGGAAGTTTATGCAGTCCATAGTTTATACTCAGTATAATTCCCCATGTATTAACCAGATGCAGATATAGTCATAGTAATTATTGTTTTCCTTTTATTTTAAGTCTATATCTTAGTCATTATCCAGAATTTATCTACTAGCAGTAGCATGGCACAGATGTACTAATTTCCACATCATGAGTCCAAAAGGCAAACACTAACACTACTATTCAGAGTAAAGCAAAATGACACATAAAGCCCAAACATAAAAGGAAAGTTTAATCTACGTATTTTTGTAAATGTGGTATTTGGCAGCCTGGCCCCTAGGCATTAGAAACATAAAAGCAGTTCTTTAGTATAGGAGTAGGAGTGCAGCATTTTTTAAATTCCTCCCTTATCTTCCTCCTAAATTACTAAAAAACAGGACTGGGAAGAAGTTAATGAAATGTATCTCACGAGTACTTCCAATCATTTACTTTCATGCAAATGTGCATGAAAAAATTGAGTAGATTTCACTGTCCCTTCCCTGGAGAGATTGTTGACTACTACATTTTCTTGCATGAAAGGTCTGCAGATTGACTATCTACGTATCAGGGTGATTGCATAATGATTCTCTGCTGTGGTGCTAGAGAAGAATGTATCTTGTCCCTTGCATGTATTCATACTTGCTTGAGAACATGCACAGTTAGGACTGAGATTAGCTTTGCCTGCCTGTAAAGCTTCTGATTGGCTGATCAATGCAAGAAGCAGAATAATTTATTTCAAACTCAGTTGGTCTAATCTTGCTACTTTTTGTTTACTTTAACAATCAAGCTCATGAATAGACATGGAGAACATTCAGATGCAACATATTTACACATGCATGCATGTGTGTATATGCCACGCATAGCACAGGGCACCTGAGAGGCATGGATACCCTTTCCTTTTAACCATTTACTTCACAGAAGGCCATTGCTGTGCTGAGAAAGTGCCCCCCGCAATTCTTGTTCCACTAGTCAAAAAACAGCAGGAACTGGCACTGCTGCCACTTTCCTTTTGTCCTGTTCCATACTGTAGTTTTGTGTGCTCTTGCAGGTTACTGAGCCTCTGTTCAGCTTGTAGCTATTACTCATTATGCCAGCATGGCTCAGAAGAGTTGAAGTTTTAAATACTTTGTCTCTGGACAAAGTACTTTCCTCTTATTATCTACTGGATGTTTCTTCATGTTTTGGAGCTTGAGCAAGTATTTACCTGGAAGAGATTTTTTAATGAGGCTTGCTTCACTTGTTGAGGACATGCCTGCTACTCCAAAAGGGTGCATATATCCCATTCCCATCCCCTGCTTGCTGCCTCCTTGCCACCTCCATGTCTTTATCTATGCATCAAAGCGCTTTGCCGGCACAGGTGCAACAAACTCTACATACTTTGACTGCCATCCAGCAGGTTGCTAGCAGAGTCCCAGAAACAAGCATACACAGAAAGTTTGCATTTACATGGCTTCAGCTGCATTATCTCTACAGCAATTAAACTTTTTGGGCTGGTCTGTAATCAGGTTGCATCTCTGGTCACATATTGCTGTAGAAGTTGCCAGTCTTCCAAGTGTACAGGCTGCAGTCCATGCTGTGCCCCATCTCTCTTGGAATTGGCAGTGGTAGCTGCTCCCTGTACAGTGAGAGATACAGTAAGTTCTTACCGCCCTGTAGTTTCAACTTCCAGTGCAAGAGAAAAAGGTGTTAGATCTCATCCCAAAGACATATGTGCCAGTGCAGCCACTTGGGCTGTTGGTGTTTAGAATGTTATCTTTAGTGTGCCAATGTTAAGTTAGCTGCTCTGTGTACTAGCCAGCAAACATACCCTATAAAGTTATACAGTTAGTTATTTCACATTCAAGGTTTGTAATTTATGCTACAGGAAGATGACAGGCAATTAAATTAGACATTTGGCCAGATAGATAAGTGGAATGCTGCTTGCCAGATATATGTTCTGTTTTACTTCATTGCTAAGAGGGAGAAGCTCAGAACAAAGCCTCTTTCTGAAGGAATCACTGTGATCCATAACGTGAAATGTCTTCATTTGTTTATTTGGAAAGGCCGGAGAAATCTCAAGTTGATAATGGAGTACTTACCCTATGGAAGTTTACGTGACTATCTTCAGAAGCACAAGGACTGCCTGGATCATAAGAAACTCCTGCAGTATGCTTTTCAGATATGTAAGGTAATAAACTGTGGCATAATTTGAGAACTGCTCACAGCCTTAACAGTTTCCCACAAATTCTAGATGCACAGATAGACTGATGGTTGCTCTGAGTGCAGTGCATGAGAAGGCACTGAAGAAAGAAGCTTCACTGGCTTATGCCTCCAACATGGTACAGGACCTGCCTGTGTGTATTAGCTGGCAAGTTGTATAGAGATGGCAGCAACATTGTTATGTTGTGCTCTAGAGTTTCATTTCAGATTTGTGTAGTTATCAGGCAATGGAGCCTATCCTGGCATGAAGCATGCAAGTCATTGCATAAACTTCACTATTCTTTTTGTCAGTGATAGGAATAAAGACATTTGACAGTATCTTGTCCTGCCTGCACACCAATGGGCCTCACTGCTAGCACTCCGAGGAGTTAGCAGTGAAAGCAATCCAAAGTGAGCAGAAACTCTCATTTCTGGGAAAGGGAAAGTCAGCAGAGCATGCAGAAGGGAGCTCCATTCCCCTGCCTTGATCTGAAAATGAGTGTTTCTGCTAGTTTCTGGGACTCGTTGAATTTCACAAGTCATTCATTCCTGGGATAGCTTTTTTAAAAGGATAGTCTTCATGAGAAGCTGTAAGGTCTACAAACTGATGACCCTTCTGTTATAAGTTACTAAAATGTCAGGTGGAAGGCATTCTGAGTGAGGCCCAGCTTCCTGTTCATGGTGCACTAATACCATGTCCCTTCGACTGAAATCTGGGCTCATTTGCAGCATCACAGGGTGGCTGGCAGGAGCATTGGTGGCTACAGTGGCAGAATGCACTTTGGAGCACCACATCAGTCTTGAGTGATTGGATGTCTGTTGCTGCTTCCCAGCGATATTGGGGGCCAGCTGGCAGGCAGCTCAAATGCTGAAAAGTGCAAAGGTACCAGCCCCATAGGGAAAGCAAGAGTGATACCAACTGCAGGCCACTTGCTGTGACTGGACAACTCTCCAGTTCTGTTAATGGCAGGGCATCCAAAATCTCCTTGGCAGTCTACCATATGGCTAGCACATCGGCCCAGTGAGGGAGGAAAGCTTGAACAGAAGGGTAAATCAGAGGGCAAAGAGAGAGAGGAACAACTCCCCCTCCTCCTCCACTTCCTCCCCCTTGCCCCTCCATTTCCCAGCTTACCACAGTTAGTTGGTGAAATTATATTCACTTGATTTGCATCACAGCATTAACTTTGTTTATTAACAGCACTAGGATAGTTATAATTCTTAGAGATAAAGCTTATCATTTATTTAAAGTATTATACTTGCAACCTGCTCCTATATGAGATTCTCAGTAATCTCCATTCCAGTACCCTTTTTCTCTCTATTTCTGGGGGGAAAAAAACCTTGGCTGCTGTTACTATTGAATCATATCAGTATCATATCAGATTGAAAAAAGAAGCATCATGTAAACAAATACCATTAAAGAAAAAACAGAACGTTAAGCATGTGCAACACCGCTCCTGCCGCCGAACAGACACCCACCTTTTCAGTGGGCCATGGAGACAGGTTTATCTCAGCAGGTTGTCTGGTCACTTGGCAGCAGACACAATGGTGACATCTAGTGGTAATAGGTGTGATGTTGGCCATGGTACCAGCTTTTGGAGAACTGCAGCCCAATGTCCTCTTTACGTGTGCCAGAAGTGTTAGTGCTTTATTCACTAACAGGTTCCTGAGCTTCTGATACTGGGAGGGGGAGACATATGTCCTCTGGGCACTAATTACATAGGTCATTATATCTTCCACTTTATCTCTGGTATTTGTGAAGCCACTTAAGTTAGATTTCATAATGTTGCTTACTTTCAGGGTATGGAGTACCTGGGTTCTAAAAGATATGTACATAGAGATCTAGCAACACGGAATATCCTGGTGGAGAATGAAAACAGAGTTAAAATTGGAGACTTTGGCTTGACAAAAGTTTTGCCACAGGACAAAGAATACTACAAAGTAAAGGAACCAGGAGAAAGTCCAATATTTTGGTATGTTTCTTTTTGCTGCTTGAATCCAAATTAGAAAAATACTGTGGGCTACATGAAAGAACATTCTAGAACTTGCATTAAAATGCTTTAGTTTTATAGTTTTTTGACACTGATCCCAGTGCCCCGTTTTGCTACAGGTATGCTCCAGAATCACTGATGGACAACAAGTTTTCTGTGGCCTCAGACATGTGGAGCTTTGGGGTAGTCCTGTATGAACTTTTCACATATATAGACAAGAACAAAAGCCCCCCAACGGTTAGTAAATGTGTGTGGTGTGTGTTGATGGAGTGCTTGGAATTGGCACATCTTTAAATTGCATAGAAGGTCAGTGGCAGCATGCTATCCATTCCCCCACTCTTGCCCCACATCTCAGCTTATATTCTGAATCATGAGAACAGAACACAGCTTTTTATGCCTTAAGGTACTAGGTGTTGTTTTATTTGAAGCTTTTTGTGCTGCTGTTCTGCTTACATGAGATCAATAACAGACAAGACCATCCCTGTCCTCAAGCTTAAAACCTAAAAGACATGACTTAAAGAGAAAAAGGGGATGAGAAGAGAAGAGGAAAACAGAGAGTTTTTGTAATGATAAGGTTGAATGGAACCAGTTCAGGGAGAGGAAGAATCCCACCTGCAGGAATGCTAGAGAGTTCTCAGCCAAGTTCATGGACAGGTGGTGGTTAGAGCCAGCATGGTTACACGGGTGTTCTTTAGGAGAAAATGCAAAATGCTGCGCTATGGCCCTGGAAGAGAGAGGCCCATCATTTCCTTCTGTATGCAAGCAGTATAGAAATGCTCCCTCAAGTGGCTGTCTTTCAACGCCAGTCCAGAGTTAACTTATTTTTGAAGGGTGTGTGTTTTTAATGTATGGGATGGATAACCCAGTACCTGTTTGTTACCTATTACTGATTCACACAAGCCCCGGACCAGCATGTCCAGTGCTAAATCAGGCCTACTGCAGTCCTGACTACATGGCTAGCCTATACTTTAGCCTCTATGCTTTATTAGTTGTATGGTCTAACTACACCTTGATTTTTCTTTCATCATAACCTGCTTCAGGAACAATTGCCTTTGACGACAAAAGTTAGTTTTTTACCTAGAACTGTGACACATCGAGTAGTTATTAATGTTATAGAAATTGAAATGTGTATTTTTTGTTTTAGGAGTTCATGCGCATGATTGGTAATGATAAGCAAAACCAGATGATTGTGTTCCATTTGATAGAGCTTTTGAAGAATAATGGAAGGCTGCCGAGACCTGATGGATGTCCTGATGAGGTACTAGAACATAACATTTTTATTTAGCTGTTCCTCTGCTGGTCACAATTGTTCCTGTAAATGGATGCTCCTGTGGTGGGAATTGTTGCATCAGAAAATATTTACTTGTGTTACTTGGAGGTCTGGTAGCTAGTATTGTGGTCGGTTTCTATCTTGCAGTTAATTTTGTTCAAAACCAAGACAGTGTTGAATGTTTAACTCATTAGTAACCTAGATTTTTTTTAAAAAGTAGTTTAGAAATGTAATCCAGTCTAGAATCCACTAGCAGTTTTCTATTTACAAAGACTGCTTGTGAACAGCTGCTTACAAATGAAAAAAAATACTGGTAAGATCTTAGGTTGTTGACTAGAAATACATTGCCACCAGATACTTTACAAACCAAGTGTTCCAGATAATTCTTAAGAATTCAGTGGATATTTTATTAGGGACGCCTTCACTGTTTTACTTTCAGCATTTCTAAGTCCAGTTAGCCTGAACTATGGTAGGAGAGCCAAGCACTTTGTTTTTTAGTTTTGCATTTGACAGGGGCCTTTCAAAAGGACAGTATAGAATGTTATAAGATTCTCTCAAAAGAACTGTAAGGAAAAATAAATAACCCTTTGGAAACTGGGAATGGCCTTAAACAGCTGACAGAAATGCCCTAGATTAAGCATGCCAAGTGACTGTCTTAGGTAGAAATAACTCCTCTGACAGAATAGGACTTTTGATGTTTTCCAATATTAGTCATATTAGGGATGGAGGAAGCTTTCAAGTAGGGATGGGAGAGAAATTGGTCAGTTGACATTTTAATGCAATCTTAACTAACTTTAAACGTTCAAACTTACATATGAACTGCAACTCAGGCATCCTTCCCATTTTGCACGCTTCTGAATTTTCAGAATGGTTCAGTCAAAACCGTAATGTTAGGAAAATGCGTTGTCTGCAAAACATGTATTTTTGACAAAAATATATTAGAACGAATGTGCACAATTTCCATGCGAATTTTATTCTGAAAGTTTGGGACAATCCAAATTTAGGATAAGAAAAATGAAAGAAACCAAAATGGTCAGATTGAGCCAACCCTGTTTTCAAGAGAGCTGGGGAAAGAGACGCTAGTTGGTGGAAACCACGCCTGGCTGGCCTTCCCGTACTGCTGATCTCTCTGTTCAGGCTTGCTGTCAACTTGGGAAGTCTTAGAATTTGTCATTTATTACATCAGGTGTCTCTGTAGGACAAGCTGTAAAATTAACACAGCTGAGTCAGCCAAAGAATTGTGTCCTATACCAGAAACCTCAGTGGGATGACAAAATCTATGCTTGCTTTTGCACCACCACCTGCCCTGCTTTAATTTGCCACTATCTAGAAGGATAATAGCTGTAGCTCCTCATTTACTGTTGGCTAATGAGTGTGTATGGTAAAAAGTGTGAGGATATGGAATGTGCTGGGAAAGAGAATTTTATATATGGTTGTGCACAAGATGTGCATAAATGCTCTGTGGTGTTTCGATGCCAGACCTCTGGTTGCGTCAGCTGCCATAAGTGTTTGTTATGACACATGACACTTGTTAATTTCTGCTCATCTCATACTGATCTTTTTTCTCTTGCCAAGGTTTATGTCATCATGACAGAGTGCTGGAACAATAATACAAGCCTGCGGCCCTCTTTTAAGGATCTTGCTCAGAGAGTGGACCTCATAAGGGAGAGCTTGGGTGGATGAAAGTGTTCCAGTTCATCCAGAGGGACACATTGACATGCGTAACAGATGCATTTTCTTCTTTGGGTGGTTGGCCTTCCCTTCACACATTCATCTTCAAGGACTAAAGCCTAGAGCCGAAAGGGAAAGCATCCCATCAGAACTTGCACATGATGGTGAAGGACTTGATGATGCACCGATAGAAAGCACTTTGACTGTAAAAGACATTGCTTTTTTAAGCAAAATAGTGTAAAATGTGTTCTGTCAGTACCACCGTGATTTACCTAATAGGCAGTTGCAAAAAGAAGTTGCCAACCAGGGAAATGATTAATGGATGAGAAGACTGGATGAAGAATAGGTCTACATAATTTCCTTTGAAGTCATCACTGAGTTGAAAGTAATTTAGGCTACAATCCTGTATCCACTTACCTATAAGCAAGCCCTGCTGACTTCAGTGGAATTTACTTTTGAGTAGACAAGTGTGGGGTTGTGCTATTAAGTTGCAGCTGACCTGCAGAATTTATATATGACCTGAAACAACTGAGGTTCTGTTCCAGCACAGCTGCGGAAAGGTTTCACATTCCCAGTTGCACCACTTTCAAGAGGAGCAAATATTTGCACTTAAACTGAACAATGCAGATGGACATCCAGAGTCACCTTGTGCCAGTCACCGTCATGATCACTGTGCATTGCTACTTCCTCTTGCACTCCTGCATTTCACACTCACACCCCTGCGACTTGTGCTCATCCTGCCTGCTATAAAGGGTGATCATGTACCAGATAAGGCTAATTTTCACCTAGTTCAGATACGTGTTCCCTTGCGTAAATGTGCATTTTTTTAGTTGTGTGTAGTCGCATAATTTTCAAAGAGATTTAAATTTTTCAAATGCAATCCTAAGTGTAGCAGAGAAGCCACTCGTAGCGAGAGGAGAAAATAACGGTGACTTTCAGGGAGACAGCCTTTGTGTCACAGAAAAGTCAGTTGCTGTGCCAGCCTTCCAGGTTAGAGAGGCTCAGTTGCGAAAGGAATGCAGCTTGCGCACCATCAGTGAGCCAGCCTGAGTGGCGATGGGCCACAGCCCAGGGAGCCCGCCAAATGCATGTTAACCTTTTCTGCAAAGAAGGAAGAGTGGCTCGGCATCCTTTTTCACTGCATTGCGCAAGGGCTCGTGTCCTATGAATGGGGTTTCGTAGTTTTTATATTGTCAAAGCACGATGGCTTCACACGATGCTGTAGAGTAAGTCAGACTTTTTCAAAATAGTTGCTTGAACAACTTTCTGTGTGCCTGTCTGAGCCAATCAGTGGCCAGCAATAGAAGCAGCAATGCATGTTGAGGCAGTGTGATGTACTGTAAATATTTTGAAGGGACGGGAACAAATAAGAGGATATATATATTTTTAAACACTTGCTGAAAGCTGCATTTTGGGATGAACACATACATAACAGTCTATTTTCCTACATGTGTACTCTGGGTGTTGTTCTGCTCTGTCCATGTCTCCTAAAGGTACAAGCCGCTGAACTCCCGCGTAGCAAGCAGCTTACTATATTCCGATGCGAAACTTCATTAGCCTTGCCAACCCTGTCAGATGCTGCAGTTTTCCCTGCTGCCTTGTTAAGTTTTGCAACCAGAAACGGAAGTCATGCCTCCGATATTGCAAAGAGCAAATGCAGCCAATCTGTTCGCACTATTTACCTTTAGGTTATTTGGCTGTGTGTAACTGCAGCGATGTGATACTGCCTGCTCAATGTCACACAGCCTCAATTGTGAACTAAATTTAAAGATTACTGCAACTCCTTGCATACCAGGCTCAGTGGCACAAATTCCTGTTTGTTGGCCTAAGAAGGTGGGTAGTACTGAACAGCAGTCACATCAGGAACTCTCATTGGTCTTGATTTGGATGTCGGCTGTTTACAAATAGTTCGGTGGAAGCAAAGTACACTGGATATTTCACCTCATCCCACCACTTGCCCTTGGTTTAGATCCAGAGTAGGGAACTTGTGGTCCTCTAGATATTTTGACCTACCTGCCATGAGTTCTCACCATTGGCAAGGCTAGCTAGGACTAAGCAGAATTGTAGCCCAAAGCATGGTGGGAGACACAAGTTGGCCATCCTTTCTTTAGATGTTTAAAAGCTAGGGATTCATCTCTGGCAAATTTGTGTTCAGATACAGGTCCTTACTTCCCAAATTCAAAGGAGTAATTGGGTGAAAGAAGTTGCTCTTCACTCTGGGAATGGGATGAAAACTTGAAGTGTACTTTGGCTTTTGCAGAATGTGGCTGAGATGGCATCTGTGCCATACAACCCTAGTTAGTTTATTTACCTACCTCAAACATGGAAGAGGATGCAGTGATGTAAGTTTTGTATAGGATTAAATAGTACCTCAAAATGTTGCAGAGGTTCATCTTGTCAGTGCCAGACTAAGAATGTTTTGTGTCACAGTGGGACCTGGAGTATCTGCTGGCTTTGATGTGCTCATGATGCTCCTGTTCCACAATGCAAATGCTTCCACATTCTGTCTTACAAGCAGGTGTGTCTTATGTGCACTTCTGGCAATCCATGTGCATGCAGAACAATTTAGTTTGTAGGAAGAGATAGGAATCCCCTTCATGAAAGAGGTCCCAGTATCTATCTTGAAAACTTTTATTAGGTGAAACCTTTCTTTTGTTTTTAAGAGAGTTGTGCCAAACAGGATGGAATGGGGACAGAATCTGGGGGTCAAAATTATAAGTAGTTATATTTTATGATAGGCTTCAGCAGTTCAAAAATTTCAAATAATTAGCATTAATAGGACAGTTTCCCAATGTATATTTTTGATTGCTTTGAAGCTGATTTTGAAATCTATTGTAAAGTAAATGTCTTTTGCTTTTGTAGAATATTATGTATATGGGTTTTGTTTAAGTTCCTCGTTAACCAAAATAACTGTAGCATAAGGTTTAAAGCAACTTTAGGCATCAGGGTAAACAGTGCAGCAATCCAGCAGTAACAGAAATACATTTTCTATTTGATCAAGGATGTCATGTCCCATGTTAAAAGAAAAAAGAAAAACAACCTCAGGGAATTTTGTGAAATGCAATTAAGAGATCTTCCATAGTGTTGTGGAGTTTTTTGTGAATAAAAAAATCTTTGTTCAGTATGGCATAATAGGGTTGAGTTGTATTCTAATATCCTAAACATGATCACAAGAGGTTAGGCTTTTGCATTTCTGTATTTTAGGTATTCGAAAAAGGATGTTTAAAAATATGCCATTGTGAGTTTTTGAGGCTGTAATCTTCTGCACACTTTGATTTTAGCGGACTTGTTTCTAAGAGATGTATAGAATTGTCTGTCAAAAAGTTAAGTTTTATTGTACTTAGAGTTCATGATTCATGTTGCTGGGCAGGAGACTAAGTTTGCAATTCTGGATGGAACAGTCAAGAAGGTGGTATGTGAAACTTACTACTAAAGTTTTTGGCTTGGATTCAGTGGAGCCCTAGTAGGAGTGGAAGGTACATCTGCTCATGCAAGGGTGGGGTCTCTGATTTCTTCCAGTCCTCCACCCCGTTACAGCCACCCATGCTACATCAAATGCTGTTCTAGAGAGTTGCCACCACAGCGAGGAGTAGGGGAACTCCATTCTTGGATCTATTTGGATGCTTTTTTCCTATAAGTGGAGCATATTGGAGACCTGTAGTTTAGAATCCTTCAACCTGCTGAAGCTGTGTGACTGCTTGAAGTTTAGGAGTTAGAATATGATCAAAATATAGGTTACCTTTTAGGGAACTGAGCATTCAGCCCTGTGAATTTGGCAACAGTGCTTTCATGTGTGCCTGGAGACTTTGCCAAAGTATTTCTGGCTGTGTACCTTTGTACTTTTGAGGGTTCCCTCATTTCAAGGAGGCACAAGTGGCTCCCACAGAGGCCCTCACACCTCTGAGTGTTCGAGATCTTCAGTTCAACTGTGACTTAGAGCCACTAATGTTGGCTGTCCACATCATTCAAGAGCAGTGATAATACCAAATGTACCTTTAAACAATCAATACACTACAGAAAGCTCTGTTCACTATGATGGTAATTCTGGACATAGTTATTACCTGACATTGCATTATTTGATCAGTGTATTAACAGAAGCAGTTAAACATTATTTTCCTTTTCCACAGCTGTCATTCAGTTACCACCGTGTTTTGTTTATCATGATACCAAAAATTGCTGTGGAAAAATTGCTACACATATGGGAGTGCTGCTCTTGAGTAAAGTGAAAATTTTATCTCAACTACTGCTTTTTAGAATTTTTTTAAAAAACAAAACTACAATTTTTATATAAATAGATTATATATCGTGAAACATTTCTCAGATCTCTCTTTTTTAATGTCCTACTTTAACTGGTCTGTGGTCCATTATAATGAATTTCAAAATAACTTGCTTTTAATATGTTCCAGAGAATGGAAACAGTCACCTGTTAAGCATCAGAGGGCAAGTTTACATAAAGCTGTGGCCTGAACAGAAAACCATGAAATGAATAGCTGGTCTTGATTTTGTACAAATTGCAATTGATAAAGCCCTTCCAGTGTTTGGGCACTTGCTACTGTATATTGCTGTACCAAGATATTAAATATTTTTTAAAATCTGTCAGTTTCTTCTATTTTTTTGGACAGGGTATCACAATGATAGCTACCACCCAACAGCCTGTTATAGCTCTGCTCTGGTGAGAAGATATCCATACAAGCTCATTGCTAAAGAAAGTCAATAGCATGAACTGGGAAATGCAATGTCTGCAGAAAACCATTGGTTGAGGACTTTCAGGCCTACCTTAAACTTTTTTTTTAAATAAGTTTTATTTGAAATTATAATCCTAAAAAAAAAGAAAACTACAAACAACATCCATCATCAAAAACATTGAGCCCGCTGGGTCAGTCCCCACACCCTTCTTTTTCCATTTATGATAATTTAGAAACATATTTAAATCTAAGCCAAGTCCTGTTTCTCTAGCCAATAATAAAAAGAGCCCCAAGTTTGATAGAAGTAGGCCTACCTTAAACTTTTTGATGTAATGTGCTCAGGTGGAAAGTTTCAACTACTCCACCTAGAGAATGCACATACATGATTTTACATCAGTACTATGAATATTATGCAAGTCTGAGACTGATGGCCACTGTGAGCAGAACATTCAGCACACATGATGCGCTGAGAACAAAATGTCCCCTACGGTATCAAAAAGGTCTTGTCAACACCAAGAGCAAACTGTGGGCCAGAGGTGACATTGAAAATACTTTCTGAGTATAAATTGTTGCCTAAAATATTGTAGCACCTAATAATGTGACTAGGGAAAAAAATCTTACTCTAACTAGTCATTTTGAAGTATAGCCACTCTTCCTGTGTAGTAGCCATTATAATGCTCAGAGTAAAATATGCAAATTTTTGTTTGGGTAAGAATTAACAAGATTCATAACACTAGTTACATTTATGTTTTATGTCCCTATGTATTAGTATAGAACAGGGGTCTCAACTTACCTGGGGGCCGCTGGAAGTAGAGTCGGTGAGGCTGGGCCGCATCGAGCGGTGGTGGTGGGCCGCTCATCCCGCGGCGCTCCTGGAGGCCGGCCCGGGCGCCGCCGGCGCTTTGAAGGCTGCAGGGCCCCTCCCCCGTGCCCTGCCCATCCCAGCCACGGGCCGCGAGTTTGAGACCCCTGCTATAGAACAAAAACACATTGTTCAAACAATTATTCATAAACTTCAACAGCCCAAATATCCATATACAGTACAGAGTGTCCCCAAAAAATTGACATTCGTAGTCTAATAACATAGCCAATGATGTCAATTTTTGGGGACATCCTATATTATCCATCTGTAAATAGCATCTGAAGACCACTCATTCAAAAATTGAGTTTCATTAAGGCTTGTGTCATGATATATTGTATGTGGCTGTTTAAACTTCCAATAATGTATTTCTTTTAGCTGCCAAAAGGGTGCAGAGAATCTATTTGCACTGATCTTGCATTAAATTCCAAGGGAGAAGTAGGCAACTCAAAAGGACATGTAGCATTCAGTATTAAAGAATTTTATACCACAAGATTTAGTCAGATTCTTACCTCTTCCTAAAAGGAAGCTGCAGTTGAGCATTGCCAAAGAATATTAACGGAAGACATTAGAGGCATTGCACTTCCAACAACTGGCCAATTTAATTAAGCCCTTAATGAGATGTCGCAGCTTCTAGTATGCGTGAATCATCAATTTTTGCTGAATTAAATGAAGCCTAAGATTTATGACCCCTTCCAAAAGTAGAGAACAATTACTTGGAAAAATGGGGTCCTCTGGTCCTTTATACTATTCTTGGTTGAGATTGGGATCTGGGGAAAAAAACTTAGGAGGCAAGGTTGCAAGAACTGGACATGTTTAGCCTGGAGAAGTGAAGATGGGAGATATGATAACATATTTCAAATACTTGAAACGAGGCCCAGGATTGCTGCTTGATCATCTCAGAGTGCAGGGCACAGAATAATGGGCTCAGGTTACAGGAAGGCAGCTTCCAGCTGCACACAGGGAAAACCTTCCTGATTCAGAGCAGTGTAGCAATGGTGCCCCCTGATGCTGGGAACAATTGATGGCAAAAGGAGAAGGGGACAGCAGAGGATGAGGTGGCTGGATGGAGTCACTGGGGCAGTGGGTATGGGTGGACTCTGAGGGATGGTGGAGGACAGGAGAGCCTGGAGGAATGTTGACCATGGGGTCGTGATGGGTCGGGCATGGCTTTGTGACTAAACAACAAACAACAGCAATGGAGCCATTGAGCTAGGGAGGTTGTGGGCGTTCCAACACTGGAGGCAAGCAAGAAGCAGTTGGACAGTCATCTGTTAGAGATGCTTTAACTTGCAGTCCTGCATCAGACTCCAGCTCTACTAGTCTATGATTCTGTGATTTGAGAAGAGTAACTCTGTGCATGCGCACAAATACTAACCAAACTTTTAGACACTCCTGTAGTACTTTAAAGCCTGACCCCAACATGAAGTTGGAGATATTTTAACAAGATCCTAGGAATCCTATAACTAATTGCAAACAAAAAGTGATTTAAAATTATCCTCGTCTTTGCTTAAATAGTAATCAAATAGACCAGCATTTCTAAAACAAAGTACTGTACTACCGTATTGTTAAGAAAGTTCATTTTAAAATGTGGATATTGCATCCTTTACTGGGGCATTTCCCCCTACATCCCATTTTTTTTCATTTCTAGCACATGCTAGACCTATGAAAATTCTGATACGATCTGGTTGTCCAGCACACTCAGATCTTTGAGCCACTGTCTTCTGCAGCTACAGCAATTTGTCTGTTATAATTATTAGATCTATAAACATCAAAGGAATCCCTCCATGAGGACTCCATCTGCTGAGCGGTCACTTTGGGGCTACTGTAATTCAGGATTTTGAGCTGACTGAAACATAACCTTCCCGGAGCCTTCTTTTGCTGTTGGTTTGAATTAACTCTGCTGCAAATAAAAATAAAAGACCAAAGCAAAACTTTATGCAGTGTAAATTAAACTGGGATGTCTAAGTCCTTTTCAAATAGTGTTAGGAAAACTGGCCCTGTCCAGGTTAGATGTTTTTGCTTTGGTATATGTATGGGTGTGGATGTTTATTAGCCAAGAATCAGCTGCAAAGCAAGGGGTGCTGATCTATAAATGCTAAAATCAAGTTGAGGCCTCCCGTTTACAGCAGGGCTTGCACCGCAGACAGAAGGGGTCACATCTCGGCAGAGGTCTAAGCGCTCCCCAGAGTTGCTGCCCTTTGCCTCTGCAACCTGCTTATTAAAACTGCCTCTTGGGCAGGGATTCATGTTGCTGTACATGCAACCGGCATTCTGCTTTCTTGTGAGCTCCCCAGAGAGCCCCTGGTCTATGGGGCAGCATACAAATACAATAAATATACATGAAAAATAAACCACAACCACCAACCATTAAACTGTGAAGCTTTTTATTTAATTAAAAGTGGAAACATCTTCCTCAGAAAAATTAGTTTGTGCCTCTCAGGAAAAGCACTAGAGAACCTAGGAATTATATTGCAGACAAGAAGGGATGAAAAATTATTCTTGCTTCTCCTTTGTGTACGACTGCAGGCAGAATCACTTTCTAAAATGGGGGGAGTGCCAGAATCTTGACATTAACAGTAAGCCTGAGTAATTTCTTCAAAGCTGCATCCTTCATTGCAACATTTGTTTTCCAACTCAGAAGCAGCTTGACGTTTTCTTATGAAATACTTGACCTGTGGGAAACCAGACCCAATAGCATTGGCTGTCCTTATCGGATCAGCATTCTGTCCAACATCACCTGCAGATGCGAAAATATGCTTTTTGTAAGCCTTATCTGAGAACATTTTCTGATGGTGACTCTGCTTTGGTTTGTGGTCCCCTTGAAGCTGGACTGAAGCTTGAGTGTAATAATCCTTCACATTCTCAATGCCTTCATTTCCGTTGGTTTGAACTAACCCTGTTGAGATAGAAGAAAAGACCAAACATACATAAATGATGTTAGAACATGTATGTATGCTGCTGAATCATCCTTGGCAGACCTACCCTGTCTAGAGCATGTTACATGGACATGATTTCAGTATCGCTTCTCAGTATAACCTTCAGCAGAACATCATAGGGCACATCCGAAACTGCCTTAAATGGGAATCGGTCCTTTGGTCCATTCCGAGTATTGTAACACTGACTGATGGCAGCTCTCCAGGGTATCAGGCAAGAATTTTTCCAGCCCTACCTGGCTCTGCTGGGGCACTGGAGGCCACAGGCGCAGTCAATATGAAACTGGGTTATTCTGCTTCCAGTTAAATCAGACAGTTAAATAGAAAAGACCAGGGTTAGCTATTTCGGTGAAATTAGATTGTTTGAAGCCTACTCTGATCTAGGTCTGGAGAATTCATCCATAATATAATCCTGAATCTTGTGCTATGGTTGTAGTAGTGCATTTTGCTCATCATGACAGTTCCCAGTGATCTCAAGGAGAATCTGAAAACTGAAGCAACTGAGCCATATCAAACTAGTTCTAGCGCTTTTCTTGTGCATCAGGAAGAGGACTTTTGGGAAGCGAAAGGGTCAGAATTTCCCATTGAAGATCAAGCCCTCAAAACCTGTCACTTTACCACAGGAGGATTATATTGTTGCTGAGAAAATCCAGCTTTTTGCTGTTGAATTACAGTTAAGTTCAAAAGGAACAGGGAATTCTAAAGATGTTGCTGTTCTTGCTAATCAAAGAGTCCTGGTGCTACACCTGTATGAGTGTAGCACTCCACTACATTAGTGTTTTGTGTCTTAAACTAAGAAAAGTGTTGCTAATGCCTCTGAATTTGTTTGCAACTGTGTTTACTGTTACCAGGGTTCCTTAGGGAAAGGTTAGGCCAGAAAATCCCTTTCTGGTTTCGTTGCCCATAAGAAAATGATTCATTGAAGGGCTCTAGATAGGTCTGTAGGCAGGCGGACTGTCTCTCCGGGCCCCTAACTCATGCAGTGGGTCCAACTCAATGCTCTTGCTTCAGCCGATCCATTCTGCCGCTGCCCCTTCCATGTAGTCTTCCATTACCTCATCTTGTTTAGAGGAATCCAGTACATCTGTCTTGGTGTGCTTCCAAAGTTTGGCCT